AAAAAAAAAAATAATAACATCAAACAGTAACATATTCAACAAAAAATTTAACTATTACAATAGAGTGACAACGTACAATAGTACTTATTTTGTTATGGGTAAGACAATAGTTTTAAGTACTCGCGTATGATATCACTTTATTGCAATGATTAAATATTTAATTAAATTGTTTATTTAGTATGTTATTGTTTAATGTTATTATTTTTTTATTGAATATGTTACTGTTTGAAAATATTGAGACTGATAGGTAGTATTTATGATACGAGTAATTAGGTAATAAAAATATGGATTTATTTAATGACAATAGTCTGATGAAAATGAAGTCTTAATAGAATATAAGTCTGCTGTAATATTTAAAAATCAAATAAAGTCTAAAAAATATCAATGATTAAATATCCGCAAAAAAGAAATAATTTGGGTCGTGGGCTTCCTTCGCAGCACAACCGACAATCATGTCATTTTCGTTTCCTTATTTTTATTTTGTCTGTAAGTAACCGATGACCATCTCAATTTAACCCCAAAAATAATATTAAAACTAAGTAAGTTCTGAAGGATGAACTGAAATCCCAAAGAGCAAGCAATATCTCCCAACGAACGAGCAATATCTCCCAACTAACGAGCAGTATCTGGATATCATTACACTCTCTAATGTTATCCAAGTGAAAAATTGATCGTCTCCGAAGAGGTCAGTTATACTCTGATTATTATTCTTTCAGTGAATAATCTCTGTTTTATCTTGTCCTATACAATTTTCGTTGAGTTTGTACAATTTTCGTTGAGTTTGTTTATATTTTTGTTTTTGTGCACGTGTTTTCTTGGTTGACTCAGTTGATTTTGTTATAGTTCATGGAAAATCTAACACTAACTCACTCTGAATTTGGTTTTTTTTTTTTTCTTAACAGGAAATAAAATGAGCTAATTCTGGGTAACAGATTGAGAAATATTCAGCTGATTATATCAAATTCATCACTGAAATCAATAATAGATAGTCCTATTATCTTTGGCTTTTCTTCTATGGTAGATGTATCCACAGCTATGCGTTATTTTACAGAAGAAGTGGAATTAAGTGCATTCATTTTATTAAGCCATGAACTTGCATCTCCAGCTGCGTGAGCATACAGTAAGTTATTTATGTATATGTCAGGAATCTACCTCTTGTTTTGCAGGATTGGTTGGTCATGTCAAAACCCAGATGGGAATGACAAGAAGGCTTAACTGTGTCTAGCGCATGTCCATACCAAGTATCTGCAGTAGTTTTGATTGAAATGTATGTTGTAGCAAGGGAGGCTGTCATTTATGCAATGGGTTACGCCATGAGTAGATTGGGGATAGATTCCGCACCATGCGAGGATGGCAAGTTCACCAATGAAGTTGGCGATAGTCATGGACCCAGCAAATCATTCAATTATTTGGACCATGAAATTGCTCAGCTCACAAAGCTTAGGTCTGAACCACATGGAAACTACAGCCGAGTCCTTCCTGGGAAACAGGAATTTCCTGTTTCGACAGTGAAGATGTTGGTGGGACGAGAAGCAAATTATTCAGGAAGGGGGAAGTTTTCTTCTGCAGATTGTTGTCATGTTCTAAGTAAATCATTGCCTGTCAATGATCCTTGGGTTGTTGACAAGATGGGAACCAGGGCTTATGTCTCCCAATTCTCTACTGACGGCTCCCTCTTCGTTACTGCTTTTCAGGTGTTTGTTACTGTCCTTCTATGAATTTGAATTTGTGGGATCAAAAAAAGTCATGAAACTTTTATCTGGAAATTCAGATTTTTTCTCACTCGTCTATTGGGTGCCAAGGAAAAAATTAAAAATGGATATCATCAAGTGTTGTTTTGGTTTCTGAAAGTTCACTCGATTAAGTCAAAAATTGATGTTATTGCCATTCCACTGTCAGCCAGATAAAATTCTGTGGCAGTCTGACATCGTTTATGATTCTCACATTTGTTTTTTTTTTCTTTTACTTTTAAAACAGGGAAGCCACATTAAAATTTTCAATGTGGACAGAGGGTGGAAAGTTCATAAGAATATTCTTGCTAAAAGCTTGCGATGGACTGTCACTGATACATCTCTTTCACCCAATCAACAATATCTCGTGAGTTCTCATGGTGTTATTTAGAGTGGCTATGCATGTAAGGTTTTTCTTTAATTTAATTATCTCTTTCTCTATGTGTGTGTGTGTGTGTGTGTCTCACAGGCACATGTATTAGCACGTGTTGTTTTGCTTTCTGGCTATGAAATGTACAAGGTACAGGGTGTTTCGTTCCTTGGACAACCTATTAGAAGAATTTCCATGCGGTAAATGCCATGCTTTAGTTGTCTCTTGCGCTTATTGAAAAGTGAAACCTTTTTGAGAATTCCCACAATGTTCGTGAATAACGTGGTGTCATTAATGTTTATACACGGTTAGCGCATTATCAGTTGTTAATCTTGGCGATGTTGTTTTTGTGAGATCATGTGAAATGGTNTGAAAAGTGAAACCTTTTTGAGAATTCCCACAATGTTCGTGAATAACGTGGTGTCATTAATGTTTATACACGGTTAGCACGCATTATCAGTTGTTAATCTTGGCGATGTTGTTTTTGTGAGATCATGTGAAATGGTGATGCACACTTACAGGCTGGTAACACAGTTTTTTATGCGAGCCAGGAATACTGTTTCTATTTGTGTGGCAGATACATTTTATGCAGTCACGGCTAGCCTTTATCTTCTTTATCTATTTTTTCTTTTTTATCTTGGTTCCTTTAGTGAGGTGGGCATGGGCCTTGGTATAGCATTAAGGTTGCTCATCTTGGTTTCTTCAGCCATGTCTAACTCTTCTATCTCATCTCTTTTGGACAAGAAAGTAGAGTGACTCTAGCTTCTTAAAACAGTGACATCATCCTCCAAAAAGGTTGCAAAAAGTTTGATTGAGGCAAGTGTACTACTTACCCACTTTTTTGTGTTGATGCCATAGTTAAAGTAACACAATATCTTACGTACTTAAAATAATTTTTTTTTAAATCTCTGGTGTATAAAGTCACGTTATGTAATATTACAAAAGTTATCTATTTGTGTATTTTTTAAATTCTGCGGCTAACTGACTTGACTAGAGTTGAGTAATTTGCTTTCTCTTGGTTTGAATCATAGATTTCTCCATGGCCCAAAGCACACATTTTTGTAATTCTTTTTCCCTTTTAATCACATTCTCTTATGGATATTGTTATTGCAGGCTTATGCCACCATGGCACCTATTGTCCATATTGTTAATGTTGGATCTGCTGCAAGGGAGTCTCTTGCAAACATCACAGTAAGAAGTACAAAATTTGTTTATTTTGGAGTTCATTAGATGTGGCTATTGGTTCATTAAGACAAATTTGTGTTACGGGGAATGGGGACAAAATGCTAGTATAGTGTTCACCAATCTCTATTATTCTTCTATTCATGAGAATTGAATGCTTAGAAACATTCGATACTGCTGAACAAAATGAAATAAGTGTGCCAGGCTATGTCTGAGGGTTTTCCAATGTTTGAATTTCCTCAAGTAATGTTATTCGGCCATCGGTTGAAGTCTCTCCCTTCCCCCCCCCCTCCAAAAAAAAAAAAACAAACAAACACACACACACAACCAAAAAAAAAGAACAAATAAAATCTTTTCAACATATCTGATCTACGGTGGTGCACTGGTGATCCTGGAAATCACCATTAGCAGTCTCACTTCGTCAATTGTTTGGCCAAGAAATGAATTTTTAACAATTCACATTGTTTTCTGTGGTACCCTTTATCTATTCTTTATTTTGAATAGAATCTGGGTTTAGAAATTTAATATTGACAGTCTTCCCTACAGGGTGTTCTTAGCGAACAGTTAATATCTATCATTGCCTGCTTGCTGTAGCTTTCATGGCCATTGAGAGAGTAAAAATGGTAACTGATATAACGCACATGCCTGAATTCCATCTCTAAACCCTTTGGTCACTTAGCCTTACGGAGAGCTTAATTGCGTCAGTGGAGGATTTTTTAGTTGTATTTTCAGTTCTCGTTGTTTTCCTTTCTGGATTTTCTTTACCTTCTAACCCACCAATTGCTTCATATTTGCTCCATTTATCATGCAGGAGATTCATGATGGTCTGGATTTTTCCTCTCATGATAATGGGGGGTACTCCTTTGGAATCTTTTCTGTGAAATTTTCAACTGATGGGCGAGAACTTGTGGCTGGGAGCAATGATGATTCCATTTATGTTTATGATCTTGAAGCAAATAAGCTTTCCCTTCGCATTTCGGCACATATGGTAGAGATACTATGACTACAAACATCTATAATATATTGTTCGTAGTTTGATTTGCATTACTGCTGCCTGTGGAGAATTACTGCTGCATAACTACATGGCATCAGTTAGTTAAAACGTGGTGGTGACATTAAAGTTAATTAGCTCTATTTTGTAGATATCTTCCCATCAAATTTATGCTCTGGTGTTTATCATATAACTTGGATAACTTTTTCTTTATTGGTTGCTATTACCCATATACTTGAGTTGCCAGTCCAAAGTTATCTCAACCTGTCTGCGCTATCAAGACCGCTTGTACATAGTGGCCCCATCACAATTATTGGACCACAAGTACTACTGTGTTCCTGCTGCTTTTCTAATGTCTGTTGGATTAAGTTTGGACCAGAATTTCTTTGACAGCACACCATTGAATGTGTAAAGAAGAATAAATAAAAAGATGGGGAAGAAGAGGAGCAAAGACTTCTCAAGTGAATCCATGTAAATAGGCTATGTGAACTTGTTTTTTGAATCAATCTACTGAGATTATATCTTGTAGAAGCGGGCAGAATACCCCGCTAAGATAAATATTTGTTATTCTTGTTAAAGTCATCCAACTCATAACCAATTTGCTAATAACCTTAGGCAAAGTTAAGCAAAGTTAAATTCATCCAACTCATAACCAACTCAACCATATAAAACAACCTTAGGCAAAGTTAATATTTCGATGTGGTATACAAGCTTACTTCACACCATCCCTAAAGTGCGACCTTGGCTCACACGTTAGCTCACAAACTGAAATGAAACAAACAAACTAACTAACATACTGAAAATTTTAAATAGGTAAGAGACNACCATATAAAACAACCTGAGGCAAAGTTAATATTTCGATGTGGTATACAAGCTTACTTCACACCATCCCTAAAGTGCGACCTTGGCTCACACGTTAGCTCACAAACTGAAATGAAACAAACAAACTAACTAACATACTGAAAATTTTAAATAGGTAAGAGACTTGGCTCACTGAGGCCCAACCCTAAAACTATATTTGAGGCAACCAACCAAAACTAATTGCCAAAGGATGGAGAGGCTCCTCTATTATATAAACCAACATGGATTCAAAATCTTTTCACCATTCTATCACTCAAATTGTTTNAACTAACATACTGAAAATTTTAAATAGGTAAGAGACTTGGTTCACTGAGGCCCAACCCTAAAACTATATTTGAGGCAACCAACCAAAACTAATTGCCAAAGGATGGAGAGGCTCCTCTATTATATAAACCAACATGGATTCAAAATCTTTTCACCATTCTATCACTCAAATTGTTTTTACAAATGCCAATGTTGTTTTCAGTTTGTTTTGGGCATAAATGTCTGTGATGTCAGCATCTGCTCATTGAATGATCTGCAATTATAGAGAAAATTATTAGGCGTGTTTGACATGTTGGAGTATTCTCACATATTAGTATTAGGGGTAATTTAGTCATTTATTTCATTTTATATTGGCCCTACTATATAAGGTTTTCTGCTGTATTTTATGTCGTGTGGTAATAGAGACCTAAGAAGTACGGATACGGATATAACATGACATAGACACGTTAGGGGATTTTCTAGATATTTTATATATAATAGGGTATGTCCGTGCAAAACACGTTTTTTGCACTTTTTTTTTTTTTTTATCATGATTAAAAGGTTGAATGTAAATAGACTGGGTTATTATAGTTAAAAAGTTAAAATTTATCTCGTAATATAAGTCTGCGGATCTAAACGATTTTAACTATTGTTGTGTTTTATGTATGCAGGACTATGTGTTTTATTATATATATATATATATGATTATATAATNATTTTTATTTTTATCATAATTAAAAGGTTGAATGTAAATAGACTGGGTTATTATAGTTAAAAAGTTAAAATTTATCTCGTAATATAAGTCTGCGGATCTAAACGATTTTAACTATTGTTGTGTTTTATGTATGCAGGACTATGTGTTTTATTATATATATATATATATGATTATATAATAAAATAAATATATTTTAATGATAATCATCCAGTTCATTCTTTTATTAATTGTAACAATTTACATCACGATATCATCGAATAAAAAAAATATCAAATATACTNGATTATATAATAAAATAAATATATTTTAATGATAATCATCCAGTTCATTCTTTTCTTAATTGTAACAATTTACATCACGATATCATCGAATAAAAAAAATATCAAATATACTAATACACATTCATCATAAACATTCATGATTAAACAATCGGTGATTACTAAAATTTGTATTTTCAAAAATATTTTACATTGTAACCCTAATTTTCATTCAATTTCAAAGAGCCCTCATTTCATAATCCTATTTTTTATCAAAGTTACTTTCATATAAAAAGTTTATTCCATTTGTATATAATTTCATAATCGTGTCCAAAATTATATTTATATTGTTGTTCTATGTTCGTGTAGTAATTGCATCTCTTTTATTCTATATCTTTGACCTTTATCTCTTTAAAATTACAATTTTTTTTTTCTTATTTATAAAGTTACTTGACAAGTTTTAAAATTTTTGAAAAAAAAAACCCAAAACGTGTCCTTTGACATGTCAGTCACGTGTCTCCAACGTATCCCTGTGTTGGAGAATACATTGCGTCAAAGGGTGCTAACATTCCTCTTCCATTGCACAACCCTTGGGCTTCCTCAATTGAGTATCCCATTGCTTGCATCATTCTAAAAGCTTTCGCATCGTACACCTTAAGCCCTTTTTTGAGCTTTGTAGTATTTATTTTATCTTTGGATAAATCAAATATAGTATTTGCTAATACGCTTCTGCTTTCATCTTCTGGTTTTACTTGAAACATTAGTGAGAAGTAGAAGGGACGACACAATTCTCATGCATCCAAGGTTGTCCAAGTAGAACATTGTTTGATGTTTCTGCATCAATGACATAAAGGGGTATGATATCCTCCAATTCCTTGATCTTTAATTCAAGTCGTACAATGCCCAAGAGACATCTGCCTATTTTGGTTAAATCTTTGGATAAGTCGATTGCTTGGGGCCAATCGATGAATAGAAATCCCGAGACATTTTAGCATTCTCAAAGGTAGGAGATTCACAGCCGATCCCCTATCTATCATGATTCTTATTATCTTGTTGGAGTATAGATAGTCTAGGTTTATTAGGATTTCTTTTCCCTTTTTTACCCTTACTAAGATTTTTATATTTTGCCTAAACTACAAGGATGTTTAAGTCACTCTGTATTATTTTTGGATATATATATGGGGCTCTACTCTTAATTTGAGTATCCTTTTTTCACTAACAAATATTTCAAGTTATCTTAAATCCATTAAGGTATCCTGAAATGAACAAAGACCTGCGATGCTTATTGAGTCCTAGTTGTAAATATTATCCGTAAACGTGATCAAAGCCAAACACTTGGCATAAGTTGATTCACTATTTCTCATCTNCAAATCCATTAAGGTATCCTGAAATGAACAAAGACCTGCGATGCTTATTGAGTCCTAGTTGTAAATATTACCCGTAAACGTGATCAAAGCCAAACACTTGGCATAAGTTGATTCACTATTTCTCATCTTAACTTGGTTAACTTCATTAGAAAACTCATCTTGGTTTGTTAATGTGTATACTAGGGACATCCTTGGTTCTGCAGAGATCTTTAATGCATTGTATATGCCGAGGATTGTAGGAATCTTTGAGACGAAAAGCTATGTGAAGTAAAAGAATAAAAGGTCGCCAATTGCTACTAAGAATCTAACATAACTTTTAAAAATGTGAGTTTTAAAACCACTTGTGTAGGTCGGGATTGAGAATTGGGGGGCCTCACNGCTATGTGAAGTAAAAGAATAAAAGGTCGCCGATTGCTACTAAGAATCTAACATAACTTTTAAAAATGTGAGTTTTAAAACCACTTGTGTAGGTCGGGATTGAGAATTGGGGGGCCTCACCCTAGTCTTGTCGGCCTAAGCCTCGCTATGAGAACTGACGGTTTCTAATTCTTTACGAAGAACTCCACCCCTACTTCAATTAAAGCGTGCGACTACTTATTCTTTGGTGGACCAACCTAAGCCCTTACCTTACGTTTGCTTCTGCAAAAGACCCAAAGAGGACTTCAACTGAAACAATTCACTTTCCATCGTCCTCAACAATCTATTTATAGTGGGCTGACAGTGGAAGTAAAATAGTCATAAAAACCATAAAGAAAGCCATCTGAACTTGTGCTAATTCTACATGCAAGCGTGTTGGTCGNCAACTGAAACAATTCACTTTCCATCGTCCTCAACAATCTATTTATAGTGGGCTGACAGTGGAAGTAAAATAGTCATAAAAGCCATAAAGAAAGCCATCTGAACTTGTGCTAATTCTACATGCAAGCGTGTTGGTTGTGTGTCCCTAACGTGTGCAAATATTGTCCAGAAAAAAATATATCAATAAAATAATTGGACACTCATTTTAGTGTGTCCATGTCCCAAACGTATCCGACACCAACACTCTTGCCAAAATTAAGTGTATGTGCTGCTTCCTATAGCGACTATTGAGCCGTAATAACATTCTCTTTTTGTTCTCTCTTCATTTTTTTTGCACTTTGTAATTAATATTATCATGACCAACATGGATAGGGAGGAAATTCTGTCATAAAGTAAGATAGCAATTAATGAGACTTAATTCTTCTTCCAGTTGATACTTCTATATTTGGTTTTGAATGAAACATGAAAAATAAAAGCTACTCTTTTGGCCCTGATAGTTGTACAGGTTTATTTGCTTGATTATTGTGTTCTTTACTTTAGGCCACAAAATAAATATTTAGGGCTTCTGGGCTTTCTTGCCTTGTCCTCCATCAGCTCAATCAACCAAAAGAAAATGCCCATAACTTATTTATAGCTCTGGATGCAATATTGAGACAGAAAATCTACCATAATTACCATTTTTTTACAATATGTGCATACTCGTGCTTCTAATTTTGTGAAATTCATCTGCCCCACTTACTCTTGAACTTATCCTTGCATGGCCCGAATAAGTCTCCTACTGTCCTTTAGAGTTTGCCATTTGGCAGAATTTTATTTGAATATATTCCTTTCCTTTTTGCAGTCTGACGTTAACACGGTATGCTTTGCTGATGAAAGTGGCCATCTCATTTATTCTGGAAGTGATGATAATCTTTGTAAGGTATGTTTGTTGGACCATAGAGTCTTCAGAATGTCATTCTTCTATATAAGGCATTTGCATGAACAAGTCTATTGTGTGTAACAGAAATTTCATGGTGATTATACTGAATGGAAGACATTAGTTATGTTTGACAATAACTTCTTTGTCTAAACAACAATCATACAAAGATACGAGCCGGCTGAGTCGTATATTTGAATCAAAAGCTTCCGTTCTAAGAGCAATGCATTTTTTTTTACAACCTTCTAAGACCAATACAGTTCTATGTAATCCACGAGTTTCAATTGATTCATGGTTGACTTAGAGACATGTTGAATGAGTTGTCTGAGCCATTGTTTTGCGACACAACAATATTTGTTCCTGAATCATTCACACTGTTTAACTTCTTGTGTCTAATACCTCATGCATATGGCTTGAAATCGTTCCATGATGCCACATAAACATCTCCGTGTCACCCACATTGATGGCCAAGATCACAACATGGGACCAACTCAACTTTACTTTACTGGACAAAGACNGTATGGCTTGAAATCGTTCCATGATGCCCACATAAACATCTCCGTGTCACCCACGTTGATGGCCAAGATCACAACATGGGACCAACTCAACTTTACTTTACTGGACAAAGACTTGTCCTAACATTCTTGGGCTCTAATTTCCCAAGCACCAAAATGTTCACTTCCCATATTCTCATGATCAAACAATTAATAGTTTCCTATTCACTGATATATTATCATGTGACCTATTCCTGTGGATCGAAAAGGAATTGGATGAAATTAGAAATTGAAGATTAAGGTTGTAAGAATTAATTTTGTTATCATTTTAATGAGGGTTTTTATGGTTATCTATACATAGATGGTTTTGAAAAAGACTTGATTATTCAATGAAATATTGGATGTCGATCTTTTTTCCTGTTTTGGTCCGAATTGATATCTTGGCTTCTTGAATTTCACTCTCTTCTTTCAGGACAATCTATTCTTNAAAGACTTGATTATTCAATGAAATATTGGATGTCGATCTTTTTTCCTGTTTTGGTCTGAATTGATATCTTGGCTTCTTGAATTTCACTCTCTTCTTTCAGGACAATCTATTCTTCTCCTTGTTGTGCGTCACCTATTTGTAACCGAAAGCCCCGATCCTTAGTTTAGTCGTTGACGATGAACTTATGGGTTGTCCTCAACTGAGTTATTTGATGGACACTTTTTCACTCCTTAAAAATTATATCCAAGAGTTTGATCTTTTTTTGGATATTGTATAAGAACATGAACTATTTCTGTTTCGTTCACTTATGTAAGTTGTAAATGTGATAGCATGAGAATTTTGAAGCATTTATTTTCTATTTTAGATTGCTTGAGGATAGCCATTTCTTGTCTTTCTTAATACCCAAAGTTTGTGACTTAGCCCTCAGGAAGACAGTAGTTTAGGTTCTTTGTTCCCTCTAATGCTTAAGGAGAACTGTTATCTTTCCCCAAGAAAATGAAGTGCTGAGGCAACTTAAAGACACCTAAGGTAGGTGACAAGAAGTTGGACAAGGCATTAATGATTATAGGGTGGCCGAACACAATATATATATGTCATGAGAAATTATTGTAAGAATTTTGAAGTGAACTTTCAAAACTCAAATAAGATGACTTGTGACACTGAAATGCAATTAATTTAGTATCCATATTAGTTTGTTGTGTCTGATATTAATAAGGAATGCAAGATAACTTGTTACCTTGTTTAGGTTTGGGACAGACGCTGCTTTAAAGCAAAAGGAAAGCCAGCAGGGGTCCTGATGGGCCACTTGGAAGGCATCACATTTATTGACAGTCGTGGAGATGGTCGTTATTTCATTTCAAATAGCAAAGATCAGACCATCAAACTTTGGGATATCCGGAAAATGTCCTCCAAAGCTTCTTGGTATGCTATCATATTTTGGATTCTAATGGTGTAGGATTGACTACTCAGGAGTCCAAGAATATTGCTTAGCTAATAAACAAAACATTGTAGGTTCAAAGTCCAAGACAGTCACTTTATGCATGTAATACTGAAGGTTATGTTTTGTACTCAGTCCACCCCTCTCAGTGGTATAGGTTTCTGGGGACAAAATATTAATGACGATTAGAATCGTGACAAATGAAACTGAATAGTTTGTGATACCATGTAAAAATAATCTAATTGTTTCACTGCAAGTAATTTCCCTGTGCTAAACATCTAGTGCAAGTTAGAGCAGATTGGAATATATAATGGCTGTAGTACCCTGATATCTCTGAACTGTGGTGGCATACATGCTTATTTTGCTCAGGAGCATTTTTCTAAAGTAAATGATGTTTGTTCATTTTTCATCAATTTGCATACAATCCTACACTGGAACATATAACAATAATTTATAATTTTATATAACATAGCATCGTCGTGGAAAGGCTGAGTTNATCTCTGAACTGTGGTGGCATACATGCTTATTTTGTTCAGGAGCATTTTTCTAAAGTAAATGATGTTTGTTCATTTTTCATCAATTTGCATACAATCCTACACTGGAAAATATAACAATAATTTATAATTTTATATAACATAGCATCGTCGTGGAAAGGCTGAGTTCTGAGTCAATCTTGTCAGAATCAAATAATGACACTGGTAGTAGGGTTCCATGGATGCCAAAAATATTGTTCTCAGTCACTGCCGTCTTGAAAGAGCTTGCATCAAGCCCATTGATCTGTGTTTCCCCTGTTGTTTCAGCTATGCAGGATTTAGGAATTATGAATGGGACTACAGATGGATGGACTANCCGTCTTGAAAGAGCTTGCATCAAGCCCATTGATCTGTGTTTCCCCCATTGTTTCAGCTATGCAGGATTTAGGAATTATGAATGGGACTACAGATGGATGGACTATCCTCCTCAAGCAAGAGATTTGAAACACCCATGCGATCAGTCAGTCGCTACATATAAAGGTCATTCAGTCTTGCGTACTCTGATTCGCTGCTACTTCTCCCCATCAGATAGGTAAGCACCAACTATATTTCTTAGTGACTCTGTTAGTGATATTTTAATTGTGAGTACAGAAGCTTTGTGTCTTATTCTAGTGAGTCTTTGGTCAAGGTGACTTGAACAACTTGATCAATGCGGCCATCAAATAATGTAGCTGGAATGAGTACAAAGCTTCTTTATTCCTCTCAAAGGAGACTCCCTTTGGAGTTTCGAGCTTGGATTCACCTAACATAACTTTGCTTCCCTACTTTTACAGTAGTGACACTGTTTCAAAACTTTTAATTAACATACTGTGTGTTTCTTGAATGACGCATTGCAGCACTGGTCAGAAGTACATCTATACTGGATCTCATGATTCTTGCGTTTACATTTATGATGTGGTATGTTCCAAAATCTATTATCCTTTTTTTGTTTGAAAGCTGCAATATTTGCAGCANATTGCAGCACTGGTCAGAAGTACATCTATACTGGATCTCATGATTCTTGCGTTTACATTTATGATGTGGTATCTTCCAAAATCTATTATCCTTTTTTTGTTTGAAAGCTGCAATATTTGCAGCAAGGTTCTTGCGTCAAACAGAGAGTGCAGGAAGTTGTTTTTGGGGAAAAAAAAGATTCAAATTCATGGTTGCATAGATAAATTGTGGCAAGTTAATAGGGAAATTATTCACTCAACTATCAGATACTAGTAAGGATACAAGACTTTCTGTTGATCCCTCCTCCATCACAAAGAAGGGGGGAGGGAGGGGGGGGGGGACCTAAAAAAAAAATTATTTACCCAAAAAAAATGTAGGAGATTCTTGGATGATGGTGATATATGCACGCTGAATTAAAGACCATGCTTCAACTCTTACCTTAAGTGTTCCCTGCTAAACTGGTGCTGGGACATCAGTGTGAACATCATGTGTGTCTTGCAAATTTTGAAGGCTAATTCTTTTTCTGTGGTATCTGACTGAGATTTCTCCTATTAATGGAAATTTTACTCTTTAGGTGAGTGGAGCTCAAGTTGCGAAACTAAAGTACCATAAATCAACTATAAGAGATTGTAGTTGGCATCCTAATTATCCAATGCTTGTTAGCTCTTCTTGGGATGGGGATGTTGTCAAATGGGAATTTGCCGGGGGTAGGGAAGCACCAGCCCCTTCACAGAAGAAAATCCGTAGGAGACATGTTCATTGAAGAATATGCGTGTAATGCCTGTATGTTTTTTGTTGTATTATGTGTAAATTTCATCCGTGTCTGAGTGGTTTATGTTACCATCCATGACCGAATAAGAAAGCCCGCACAATATGCAGTATCATTTGTTCCATTTCTTCTGCTTGATCTGTACATAAACAATCACTTACTGTGAGGACTATGGCCTTTGTACAGTGTATATAGTTCCTTTGTACAGTGTATATAGTTCCTGAAGAATGATTTCAGGGCGTGTTGCTTGGCGTCAGCTGTGAATTTTTGTCGTGCGAGTCTGCACGTTATGCAATTTGATGATTAGTATTTGTCTCCTCATTGAAAGATATATTTCTACAGAATTCTTTATCTGGGTGACTTCCAGTGCCTGTCATTGTCAATGGTTTTCAACGAGGGTTTTTTAACACAGGACCTCTCAGCATGGGTTTTTTTTTTGGGGGGGATGATTGGGGGTGGCCTTTTTCCTTTTTATTATGTTACAGATCATAGCACACGTGGAATATATACTATTGAAAATGAGATTTTAAGGTTAACCATACTGGCACTGGAGTGTTCCTCTCTCTCTCTCTCTCTCTCTCTCTCTCTCTCTTAATATAATGTTGTAAACCAAAAAGAAAGGCAAGTTTAATACTCTGGAAAACCTCATCAATCATATGGTATGGCATCATGAAATCTAAAAGCACACTCCACTGGGGCTGACCTCGCCATCATTTTGGTGTTTCAGNGTTAACCATACTGGCACTGGAGTGTTCCTCTCTCTCTCTCTCTCTCTCTCAATATAATGTTGTAAACCAAAAAGAAAGGCAAGTTTAATACTCTGGAAAACCTCATCAATCATATGGTATGGCATCATGAAATCTAAAAGCACACTCCACTGGGGCTGACCTCGCCATCATTTTGGTGTTTCAGTTCCTTGTGTTTAAATGCTCGCATTCCCTTTTTTAAAAATCTTGTGTCTTTTTGCAAGAGTCTCATTATTTATACTCTTCTACGTTCATAATTGTATTGTTGTCCATTTAATTGCTTGCTTTGCAACTCAAGGGAATTGGGTGGTTCCCGGAGGGCCCAAACCTGCTATATTGCTTGCTTGTTAATNAGGCCATCATTTTGGTGTTTCAGTTCCTTGTGTTTAAATGCTCGCATTCCCTTTTTTAAAAATCTGTGTCTTTTTGCAAGAGTCTCATTATTTATACTCTTCTACGTTCATAATTGTATTGTTGTCCATTTAATTGCTTGCTTTGCAACTCAAGGGAATTGGGTGGTTCCCGGAGGGCCCAAACCTGCTATATTGCTTGCTTGTTAATAACCATCATCATCCCTATTATAGTCATCATCAGAAGCAACGGCTCATCATCCCTATTGTAGTCATCATCAGAAGCAACGGCATCATCATCATCGTAGCTTTTTTTCTCCACTATTGTCTATTTGTCTTTTTTTTCCCTCATTTGTGAGCGAACTGATAATGAATTTGCAGTAATTACTTGGCAAGTACACTAAGAAAAATTTCCAATCTTTCGGGGTATGGTCTTGCTGTCCCCCTAAATCCATCGTTGATCCTCAACATCTAATCAACNGAATTTGCAGTAATTACTTGGCAAGTACACTAAGAAAAATTTCCAATCTTTGGGGGTATGGTCTTGCTGTCCCCCTAAATCCATCGTTGATCCTCAACATCTAATCAACATGATTAGCCTCTGTAATCGTTGGCAGCCACTAGTTGGGGTGATTTTAGTCGTAAGGCTAAATAAGAAAATCATCTTCTATTTTTATGTGGAGTTCACAAGATTAATTGGATCATTGATAGGCACATGTATGATTGACATTCGTAGGGGCAGATTTCTTCCTAATGTTGTTAGTGGGGAGATCAATAACCAAATCTCTGAATCTTATGATTATTAGTTGGCTAGTGTCCAAGAAGGCCANCATTGACATTCGTAGGGGCAGATTTCTTCCTAATGTTGTTAGTGGGGAGAACAATAACCAAATCTCTGAATCTTATGATTATTAGTTGGCTAGTGTCCAAGAAGGCCATGGCCAGGGCCAACCAGCAGACATTCATTCATTCATTTCTTTTTACTTCACGGCGTAGTAGGTACTTCTCTAACAACTCCACATTCATTCCAATTCACCTCCTTCAACAACCCCACCCTCCCAGGCATGTGCACACACGTGTGTGTGTGTGTGTGTGTGTGTGTTTTGGTGTTGGGATGGGTTTTTTTTTTTTTATGTAGAGAGAGAGAGACAGAGAGAGAGGACAAAGTGTTTTCTTTCTCAAAGATTTTATGTTTTTATAATCCACACCCCAATCCTTGATTAGGTCCAATTATAATAAAAAATTTAAGTCTATTATGTATGCAAGTTATTCATATACTTCATTCTTNTTTGGTGTTGGGATGGGTTTTTTTTTTATGTAGAGAGAGAGGACAAAGTGTTTTCTTTCTCAAAGATTTTATGTTTTTATAATCCACACCCCAATCCTTGATTAGGTCCAATTATAATAAAAAAATTTAAGTCTATTATGTATGCAAGTTATTCATATACTTCATTCTTGAGTAACGCATAAATAAAATTTTGGGTTTTTTGAGGACGGTCAAATAACATTGAAGAGATAATCCAAGAACTAGATAGATCAACTAATTGGGACAATTTTTTGAAGGAGAGGGTGTGAANATTTAAGTCTATTATGTATGCAAGTTATTCATATACTTCATTCTTGAGTAACGCATAAATAAAATTTTGGGTTTTTCGAGGACGGTCAAATAACATTGAAGAGATAATCCAAGAACTAGATAGATCAACTAATTGGGACAATTTTTTGAAGGAGAGGGTGTGAAAATTGTAAATGAATCTCAGGGCCAGCCGGTCACACACCGATGGACACGTTAAATTATCCATGTGGCTGAGAGTCTTAACAATTTAGGCATAACGACACAATCATTAGGTATGTGCTCTATCACATACTGAGCTAATAGCCCATCTTGTGAACCAGCCACTGGGGACTGCTATGCCAAAAATGAGATAAATCTCATCCTTCTCTTTCCTTATTCGACATTGAAACAAAAAAAAAAAAAAAAGAAGATTTTATCAACTTGTTTCCACCTAACATAATAAGCTCATCCAAACTTACTTTACTGTCAAGAAACAAAATAAGACTTTGTTATCAGGATCGGATCGGACCGGCCGGTTCGACCTTCAACTGTGAAAATTTTTTATTTTCATAGAGAAAGAAAATCAGAGAGAGGCTTGGACGTGCAAGGTGTTAAATGAGGGAGAGTAGGAGACAAAGCTGGTTTGCTACATGACAATGACAAGCAGACCAANATCCAAACTTACTTTACTGTCAAGAAACAAAATAAGACTATCATGCAATGTTATCAGAATCGGACCGGCCGGTTCAACCTTCAACTGTGAAATTTTTTTATTTTCATAGAGAAAGATAATCAGAGAGAGGCTTGGACGTGCAAGGTGTTACATGAGGGAGAGTAGGAGACAAAGCTGGTTTGCTACATGACAATGACAAGCAGACCAAAAGTTGGGAGGAGTGTGGGACCAATTTTTTTAGTAGTTTAATGTTAAACTAGAATAAAGCCAAAGCATAATTTTGATCTTTTGACTACAACACACTTAATTAAGATATCATTCCTTAGCCAAAGTAAAAGGACAGAAAGGAAAAGAAAGAAAAATTAGTTAGTCCCTGCAATCAGTCTCATGATTGGTGCAAAACAACACTTTCAACTGAAGATTATAATAGACCACCAAGTTCTCAAGTCCTCATCTATCTACAAATAAGGGAGGAATGTTATTGTAAAGTNGAAAGGAAAAGAAAGAAAAATTAGTCCCTGCAATCAGTCTCATGATTGGTGCAAAACAACACTTTCAACTGAAGATTATAATAGACCAAGTTCTCAAGTCCTCATCTATCTACAAATAAGGGAGGAATGTTATTGTAAAGTAAAACTCATGTAATTGGATTGGACCCCCGCAACACATGCTTGTGCTTTTCTCTCTCTCTCTCAAAATCAAAGTACCAAACAATATCCACAATTCTATTTTATTAATTACCCCATAATAACATAACAATTAATAAATGAATCTAGTTTCTCCCAAAATATATCATGACAAAAAAAAAACCTGTAACTTAAAGTTTCTTCCCTTTATGCCCTCGCTGTAAACTTGAGTTCCCTATTTTACCCCTTCCACTCAACACATTGCGTAGTAGGCCTGCTCTTCTGCTTCCCAGCCTTCAGTGGGCAACTCATCTGTACCGGTGGGACCATACAATTGTACTGCAAACACAACGAACTGCTCAGTGGAATCGCAGCCGTTGGATTGATCTCCATCCCAGTTAAAAAGTTGTGCTGTAAATACAATATCTGTATACTAGCAGCTAACAAACGGTCCACTAAACTGCCCGGGACCTGCCCGGTGAACCGGTTGTTGTTTAAGTAAAGATTCTGTACGGTCGCGAACTTTGGAGACACTTCCCCGGATAAACGGTTGTAACTGAGATCAACGACCGGGATTGTGACCTCATCAACCGGTTGAACCGGTCCCGAAAATGTATTTCTCTGTAGTTGAAGGTTTGTGATTGGGAAGGTAAATATATTGCCCGGAATGGTACCCGTGAACCTGTTCATGCTCAGGTCTAAATAGTTCAACCGATTTAGTTCGCATAAAAGCCGGTCTACTGGGCCGGTTAATTGATTCCAGGACAATGAGAGGTATTGGAGAGAGGGAGGAAGTGAAATCGGTGAGAGCGAACCGGAAAGATCGTTGTTCTTGAGGTCAAGCCGAGTTAGGGTTTGTGATACAAATGGAGGGACCGAACCGGAGAGACGGTTCTGACATAGAATGACGTTGGACAGCGCCGGTAGGGTTCCGACGGATGCCGGAATACTTCCGGTGAGCTGATTGTAGCTGAGATCGAGGGTTCTTAGCCCACGAACCTGACCAAGGGTTGCTGGAATGTCGCCGGAGATGAAGTTACGGCTAAGTCCCAAAAATCTGAGGTTCTTCAACTGAGACAGAGTTTGGGGCAGTGAACCAATGATCCGACCAGGAACGACAGTGAACTCCGCAAGAGCGGAGAGTTTTCCAATCGCAGGATCGATCCGGCCTGTGAGACCAGGCGAACCGGCCCTCGGATCACCAAGATTCAAAGCGATGACTTTGTCGCCATTACAATATACGCCGGCGAAGTTGCAAGGATCGGAGGTGAAATCCCAAGAAGAAAAGTAATTGGAACCAGGCATGTCATCCAAAGCTTTTCGAATGGATTGCAGAGCCAAGAAATCAATAGGATCCAAGATTGCATTCGTCAAAACACTACATTGAAGAAACATAAACAGATGCATAAAAAATATCACTACCATCTTCATCTTTCGCGTCATAAACTTCATCATCATAGTCACCAAATACGAAAACAAATGGTACACAGAGATGAGTATAGTCGAAGGGGTTTATATAGGGGGCAAATCGAGCTTTTGGAGAATACTTTTCCACGAGAAGGAAATGGGGACGTGAACGCTTTAATGGCGACAGCATCAAAGTAATTTCCAAGGTTGAGGAGAGAGAAATGATCACTAGTAGCTTGGGAGAAAAAGCAAAACCAAAGCGTTTGATCTTCTTCTACTTCTTGAATCTTCTTCTACACTACTACTACTACTACTTTGGCTTTTTGGCTTCTCAGAGAAGGGTGTAATGACTACTCCAACTGGTTCTACTACCTCTCTCTCTAAGCTGCAACTACAAGGCCAGGTTTTTTGTTTTTTTATTTTTTATTATTTTCTCTTTGGTTTGTTGCTATTAATTTTAATNACTACCACTACTACTACTTTGGCTTTTTGGCTTCTCAGAGAAGGGTGTAATGACTACTCCAACTGGTTCTACTACCTCTCTCTCTAAGCTGCAACTACAAGGCCAGGTTTTTTGTTTTTTTATTTTTTATTATTTTCTCTTTGGTTTGTTGCTATTAATTTTAATTAGTTTTTGTTTTTTTTGGGAACTGGTTCGGAGGGCCAAACGGTTGTCCGAGCCTACGTGGGAGGGACGAGCCTTAGCTTAGTAGTGACAGGTCAGCAAATTCGAGATTTGAGGTGACTCAGACGAGGACCATGTGATATTATGGTCGCTGCCTAGAAAAGGTCAAAATAGATAGGGAAAAAGTATTACATTTACACCTCCCCATAGCCTGTATTGTATCCACCCAAAATAAATATAATCTAATTTCTATATTTTTATTTGTAATTTTTGGTGATGTTTATCAATTATACGTACTGTTATAGGGTGAAGTGGGAGGCAGACACCTAATATCACCGCCCAACTTTTATTTTAACTGTGAATCAATTAATAATTAATTTATTTAATCATGTCAAAATGATATGACCCCATCCAACTAATTAGAGATTGTTCGCCTTTTGAATCAAACAAAATAAATAGTAAGGTTTTATAGTGACTTTCATTTTAAGAGAAAACAAAGACCCAATTAATTTATTTTTCGATATTTATTTTATGTTTTCTCCTCTATCGTTCTTTGGGTTTCTCTATCATCAACCCCTTGGCTGGTAATACACAACCTAAAAAGAGGTTGAGCCCTAAAGCTCACTCTTATAATCATTTTTATTACTAATGTGTTATTCTAATAATTCGTAGATTAGAAATTTAGAATTAGGACGTCCTTCTCTCTATTAAACCATTCACAACTAGTTTTTAATAAATTAAAAATTCACCATGTCCATATTTTGTAAAATCAAGTAAAAAAAAATTGGGTTCTATAAGGACTTGTATAATATTAGTCATTAATTAAATAATGTTTGTGATATTAAAATTAAGTTGTTTATATTTGACACTAATTTCATCAATTTTATATTTGTATTGATGGACTATTAGTTTGTATAGATAATTAATCAATGGTAATTTGGAAGTTGATACACCTAATTAGATTTATTTGATATTCCCTCTGTTCCTAAATTTCTGTTGTTTTATAATTTTTTTTTTGTTCCATAATATCTGTCGTTTTATGAAACCAAAACATAATAAATATTTCTTCTTTCAATTTTACCCTTATTTTTGTTTTCCAATAAGTGCATAATAAATTAAGTGTAGATTAAGTGTCTTTTCTATTCCTTTCCTTTCTAATACGTATTGAATAAGAATATTTTAGTTTTGTTTAAATATTTTTTACTCATATTAGAACTATTTAATAATTTCCTTAATCACTGTGTAAAAATCTTAAATGACAGATATTTAGGAACGGAGGAAGTAAAAAGTACATAGAACAAGATGTATTGGAAAAAAGTACATAACTAAATTACAAAGACATAAATGTTCATTTTAGGGTCATTTAATTTAAAATCTCTTATCTTTAATGCACCTTCATTCATGTGTGTTTGTTAATACATATAAATACGTATTTAATGCACCTTGATTTATGTGTGTTTGTTAATACATATAAATACGTATTTAATGCACCTTAATTTATGCATTTTTTTTTTGAAAAGTGATTTTGTTTTCAAATTATATTTAATGCACATTAATTCAAGATTTTTTTTTTCTTTTGGAAGATTGTTTTATTTTTAAATTAATTTAATATCTGAATAATATAATAGTGTAACAAATACACTGTAACAAAAAAAGTATTTAGTAATTTTGTGTATGTGGTAACAAAATCAAAACGGATATATACTATTTTGAATGAAATTATATGAAACTATATGTTTTACAAAATATAATAGTACAATATTTTTGTGTAAATAGATTGTTACACTGTTATTGTTATACTGTTATATTGTTAGTGTTACACTGTTACACCTTTATTGTTACACTATTACATTATTCGGATATTAAATTAATTTAAAAATAAAACCATTTTCCAAAAAAAAAGAAAAAATGCATGAATCAAGGTGTATTAAAAAATAATTTTAAATTTAGATAAGAGATTTAACAATAAATATATACATACATACATACATACATAAGTATTTATATAAATGTATATATATATAACACATGAATCATATATATAAGTATATACACACACACAAACACACACACACACACACACATATATATATATATATATATATATATATATATATATATAATGCATGTATCAATGTGTATTAAAATATAATTTATATACATATACGTTTTTATATATACATGAATACAAATTTTAAAATTCAAACAAGTATATATATATGTGTGTGTATATATATATATATATTAAAGTTCTCTTATAAAATTAAGAGATGTTTAATGCACAACTTTCTAAAAAAAAAATAGTGCATTAAATACACACGGATTAATGGAGGGCAAAAATGTCACAAAAAATCAGTAAAATTTAAATAATGTACTAAGATACAAATAAGTATCAAAATTAAGAATTTAATTACCCAATATTTTTTTTTACAATTAAATATAATTGGGTGTACTTTCTTCCAATTTGCTCAGTAATTCAATTGTAATCTCGTTCACGTACTTTTGGGCGGTCTTCTTATAAAGCTTACAGGCCCAAATGAATAATGGGTCCTACAAGATTTGGATTCTCCAAACGCAATTCGAAACCCATACTTGCACCGAAAATGGAAACTGTAATCTCCTCCAAAAACGGCACCGTTTCATCATGCCCTTTGGATTTGACCCTATTCGAACGTTGGTCCATGGTCCATGGACCACTCTCGATAACACTACCGAGTGCCAACACATCCGGCTAGTTCTCAAGATCGTCCAATCGGAGTACCTTCGATGCACGGGTTCATTCCTTCCACCATTGAACTCGGCCGAGTCATGTTGGGAATCGTACGTAACCCTACTTCATGAATTCCATCCGAATTTCAATGTCCGTCGCACGTCCTGCTTTCAAACCAGTTGGATTTCTCAAAGATGTATCAACATCACCAGTTCACCACACAGGCCGAATTCGAGGGCAATGTGTCGCGGTCCACCTTAGTCAATGTCGTTTCAGCTTGTAACCAGTCCCTCGAGAATGGCTCTCTTGTGCTTCGTGTACTACTATTCTCTTTCGTCTTCAAGCTACGTATTTAACCGGTCCATCTGTCGGTAACGTCTCCGATTGTACGGCCTACCCGTTGATTTACGCCGCAGCTTTCGCAAACCAGTTCGGTCCCACCGATCAAGGTACTGCTAAGTGTTTGTTTTCCCTTGATTTTACGTCGTCCAATTCGAAGAAAACACATAAAAAGATTGTGATTTCTGTAGTTGCGATAGTTTGTGGTGTAATTTTCATTTCTAGGGGTTTCTAGGTTTTGGTATTTGTGGCGAAAGAGAATAGTTATGAGGGCAAAAAGGAATATTGTGATCAATCAGATTAATTTAGATTCTGGGTTGGGGTCAATTAGTGGAAGTACTACTTTAGTTAGGTTCACCTTTGAGGAAATTAAGCAAGCTGCCAAGAATTTTTCAAGGGCCAATATGATTGGGAGAGGAGGGTATGGGGATGTGTACAAGGGTGTGTTGCCAGATGGGTCTGAAGTGGCATTTAAGAGGTTCAATAATTGTTCAGTGGTCGGTGATGCTACGTTTACCCATGAAGTGGAGGTTATTGCGAGTATTAGGTATGTGAATCTTGTGTCTTTGAGAGGTTATTGTACTGTTACAACTTCTTTGGAGGGTCACCAGAGGATATTGTGTGTGATTTGATGGAGAACGGGAGGCTTCATGATCATCTTTTCGGGGTGGTAGAGAAAAAGCTAAGTTGGCCTATTTGTCAAAAGATTTTGCACTTGGGACCACAAGTGGAGCCATCAATAATGCATAGAGATATTAAAGCTAGTAATATACTTCTGGATGAGAGGTTTGAGCCCAAGGTGGCAGATTTTGGCCTTGCAAAGTTCACGCCAGAGGGAATGACACATTGGAGCACTAGAGTGAGGTTTGACCGAAAGGAGTGATGTTTATAGTTTTGGTGTTGTGCTTCTGGAGCTTTTGAGTGGGAAGAAGGCGCTGGTTGCGGCTAATGAGGGGCAACCAGCTCTTGTGACTGATTGGGCATGGTCAGTGGTGAGGCAAGGGAGAGCCTTAGATGGTATGCCGGATTTGGGCCCTCCAGAAGTTATGGAGAAGTATGTGTTGGTGGCTGTTCTTTGTTCTCACCCACAATTGTATGCTAGGCCAACAATAGACCAGGTTGTGAAGATATTGGACACAGGCATACTTGTTCCCACAATACCTGAACGACCAATTCCTCTTATTGTGGATATTGATGACAGAGAGATCTGTGAGCAGCAGTGGTCAGGTAATCTATCTACGTCTGCTGGGTGCCAGCTATACAAGTTTGAGAATGACCGCCCTCTCATTCTTTAGGAAGAAGGGGAGAATTCAGGTTGCCAGTAGGAGTCATTCAATTTGCAAGGTCTCACACTAATATCCAATTCTGAGCTTCCATAAATTCCAATGCTCATATTTATTTATTTTTTAGATTTGGATGGCGTAGTTTTGAAGTTGCAATTCCCCACTATAGTCCCTTTGTTAATTTAGCTTGTGTCCTGGAATTGGAATTGCTGATTCTGTTTGTAAAGTGAGGAATATATGTAGAATGGGAATTTATTCTTTCGGACCTGATAGTTCGAAACGGAGCATGATCACAGCTTTTTGCTGCTCAAAGATGTCTTTTAATAAGTTAAACTGCATTTTGGCTATTGAACACGAAGGCTGCCGCAGTTTTAGCAAACCATATCAGACTGGGAACATATACAAAGTCATGTTCTTTATGACATTTGTTCTGACTAAAAAAACACAAATCCAATTCTTCTTCAAGCTTTCTGCCTTATACCTTTTGCACCCTGTGTACATAGGGTGACTCTGAAATAGTGATATATTCTGTCTATTTAGAGCTTGGTGATATGCAAGGTGCTATGAAGGGCAGGAGTTGAGATTTGATGGTAAGAGATGACTGGGTATTTCTACAAACATAGTGGCTCGGGGGATATCTGTGTGTTCTGGTTCTTGATAATAACTCTTGATGATATCGATGACTCCCTTGTGAAGTGGAAAAAGAAACTTGTATGGTGAACGCTGATTCAAAAGAGAATATTGTTGTTCTTGTGCCAATATTTTTGCCTGAGAATTGAGTGTATGCATTTGTAGTGAACTTTTTGGCTGAGGGGAAAGAAAGATTTCAGGTGTCATTCCTTCTTTCTCACTGATTGCCCTGGCCGAAGCAGAGACTATGGCTGCTTATGTATGAAGCGTCAACGCCTATTTACATTAAACAGAAGAATCATGTACCATGGTTGGGCCAACAAAGTTGGAATTTTATTTTTGTTTAGTAACTAAGTATTTGTTTGATAGTAGTGGGGAAATTTGAGTCGTAATAGTGCATTTTGATTTGAGGCTAATTCTTCTTTGGTGGCACTTACGAGAACTTTTCAGAGGGATGGATCCAAAACTCAGTATAAGGTGACAGTTTCATTAATATTTCAAATCTTGAGTGAACTTGTATAATTCGTAGATATTCATACCTTACGATGGTATTATAGTCGGGATGCCAGATTGCTTTGTTTTCGTCATCTTGGCATGTACAAGAATTAAAAATAATTGTATAATAAGAGAGAATTTTGATTTTTCAATTCCCGACCTTTTTTCATTTGTTTTGTGTATTACCAAGCCTAGTATAGCCTTCGTCAATCACACTAAAGTATAACATCCAACTATGACTAGATAGAATAGTGGACTTGTGTAATAAAATAAAAAAAAATACCATAGGAGGAAATTTCCAACTTCTTGTGGTGTGCCAAACCAACCAAGTTGCACAACATAGTAGTCGGATTCAAGTAGCTCATCAGGGACAGTTCAATACAATACAATTTGACATCAATAGTGGCGACTCTAAATGATTTTTTTTTTTAATATTAACTTTAAAAAAAATCTCATTTTTTGAGACTGTGATTTTTAGTTAAATTTTTTGTACTCAAATTTTATGCACGTATATTTTTAATTGATCATATGACTAATCCACCTATCTTTCTAATTTTACCAGATTTATTCTTATTCATTTACCTAATTTTAAACTAAAATTTTTGTTATGTTATATTTGTTACTAATCACAAATATATTAAGAAGATTCTTTTAAAATTCAAATACTTTTTGAAATTCTCTCTTTCTTCAAAATTTTTCCTGTACAAATGTTTATTTTTTAATTGTCATTTTTTCAAATCAACCAAACACTTATATAATATAAAAATAATGATACGAGTTTGGAATTAACAAAATTTTAAATTTAGAAAAATAATCAAACTTAATTTATTGTCATGGCCCACAAAATTGAGGTATAATACATGAATTCTACCCTAATATATCCTATTAGAAAAAAAAATAAGGAGAATCAATGGATTAATATCTTATGTATTTATTTATTAGTGATTTAGAAAAGTACGACATCCATAATAGGAAGAAAGAAAAGAGTGGGATTGAAAGGGGGAGGGAATAAAAATAAATAATTCGGTTGGTGTTTTAATTTTAGATAAAGACAAAAAAATATCACATCAGTGGATGTGTGCGTAACTTTTTTTTACGAGAGACGGAGAGTCGAGAGAATGATTAGTAATACTTACTGTATAATATTTTTTTGCAACTTTTCAACTTTTTTTTTTTGTTTTTTCGTCAAATTTAATTGTGTTATATATTGGGCTGGACTTTTGGACCCAAATAATTTATCTAAAACTTTTTTGTTACTCGCTGAAATTTTAATTTGGTTTTTTGTTGGACTTAATTTTTATGGAATTGAAATTTATATATGAACTATTTTATCTATAATATAAAACAGAACATGTTTCAATAAATTTATTTGACAGTATCAAATAAACTTATTCAATAACCACCAATATTCTTTTCAAAAAACTCATCTGACGATCTCAAATAGACTCATTCAATGGTCACCAACATTTATCTCAAAATCAGTCACTAGCATCCCTCTCAAAATCATTTACATTGTATTGTACCTTAAGACACGGATTACCTTCTAAGACTTTTTTCTTAGTTGGGTAGTCTTTTTTCGGTTAGGGCCTAAAGCTCATAATTTAGAGCCATTTTGTTTGGACTAGCATTGCCTCCAACCTGTAAACCATCCTCAGCCACAACATACCCTCCAAACCTTAACTAGAACAAAATAGACTGAAGGAAGGGAAGTGATTGAAAGAGATATAGAATGTCAAGAATGAGAGAGAGGGGAGGGAGAGACTGAATGACAAAGGTTGAGACAATATGTATAGTTTTCTTGCATAATCATTCGATGATGATGATGATGGAGTGGATGATGCACTAATGTATTTCACAATTTTGTATCTTTTTAAAAAAGCTAACAAATCATTCTTAAAAANCTTCGATGATGATGATGATGATGATGGAGTGGATGATGCACTAATGTATTTCACAATTTTATATCTTTTTAAAAAAGCTAACAAATCATTCTTAAAAAAGTCTAAAAAGTAATCACTTTTAATTTTAAAAGTAGTAATTTTTAAATTTTTTTTCCTCCACTATTAGCGTTTCTAAGTTGTTATTTCTCTACCACTCTTATTGTCTTGCTCCGACTCTTTGTTCTTATCTCTAGTTTTCTTTATCGTTTATCCACTCTCACCTCCTCTTTCTAAGTTTTTATCTCCTTATCATTCTCATTGTCTCTCTTTACGTAGTCAATTTATTATTGACTTCATAATTTAAATCCATTTTATCATTTGATTTGTCCGATTTCAAAACCATTNACCACTCTTATTGTCTTGCTCCGACTCTTTGTTCTTATCTCTAGTTTTCTTTATCGTTTATCCACTCTCACCTCCTCTTTCTAAGTTTTTATCTCCTTATCATTCTCATTGTCTCTCTTTACGTAGTCAATTTATTCTTGACTTCATAATTTAAATCCATTTTATCATTTGATTTGTCCGATTTCAAAACCATTAAAAAGTTGAATAAGAGTTTAGAGAAAAAAAAAGAAATGTGGTGGTTCTTTAATGGTATGGAACTTGTCTGACGGTAACCACGAGTCCAATATATAAACAAGCAGCCTCAAGGATTTGATCATTTTCTAGACAACGACTTGCACATATTCGCTGATTCCAATGCTCATTTGGTCTTTGCCTGCACTGAAAAGAGAAATACTAAGAAAAAGGACAATTTCCAAANTTTTCTAGACAACGACTTGCACATATTCGCTGATTCCCTAAATTTGGTCTTTGCCTGCACTGAAAAGAGAAATACTAAGAAAAAGGACAATTTCCAAAAATCTTGATATTGAAGATAAAAATTTTGTAATATCTTCTGCATGTAAAGTAAAATTTTAATAACTCTAAATTCAAGAAAGATCAATTTCCAACAATTTCGATATTCAAGATAAAAATTATTGCAAGAACTGACCTATTGGCCACGTATATGATTTTCTTCACCAATCGGATACGCCATGAAAATTTGTAGAACCAGTTCCCAATGTCTTCCTGGTCCTCTAGCTTGAACTTTAGTTGGTAACCTTTGTCGGTTGCAAAGAAAACAACCTATATAATAAAACTCCAAGAAAATAATCTATATAATAAAACAGGAGTGTGTTTAAATTTTATTCCAGTCATATTTTTCTCTNTCTATATAATAAAACTCCAAGAAAACAATCTATATAATAAAACTCCAAGAAAATAATTTATATAATAAAACAGGAGTGTGTTTAAATTTTATTTCAGTCATATTTTTCTCTTTAAAATTATCACCAATCACTTACCTCACTCATCATCCTTTTATCAAACTCAAACGTCAAATCACATCATCATTTCTATCACATATTTAATCATTTATATATTTTTTTCCTAAAAATATCACACCATTCATATCTATCATATATTTAATTATTTAATATTTAATTAATTTATAGTTAATATATTTTTAAAAAATTGAATATAATGGGATCGATTTTTTGAACGCTTGAATTTTATATTTTATCTTGTCTTCGGACACGATTTATGATTAATAAATATATATAGGATATGACAAGAGACAGGGAAGGGAATGAATGTGATTTTTGAACAATTAGACATGGAGAGAGTGCGCGAGAGGAAAGGAAGGGGAAGAATGAAAGAGAGAGGCCCAGATACTAGTTGATTATGGTAACAAATCGAGAGGTATGAGATGAAGAGTTGGATGAATCATTAGTGGATGTGTTGTGTATAAAATTGAATGGAAATACACAAAAAATTAAGTGGTTCATTGCCTGAAAAACTTGACTAATCTATTTTTGACTCCTTGATCGCTTTTTTGAAGAAGAACAATACAATAGACCCTTTTTTACATAGTGATCATTGTAGAATTAGTAATTATTTGTGTCTGAAAACACTACATAACAAAAAAAAAGNGAACAATACAATAGACCCCTTTTTACATAGTGATCATTGTAGAATTAGTAATTATTTGTGTCTGAAAACACTACATAACAAAAAAAAAAGTCAAAATTAAAAGGTATACAAATTAGAAGACTACTACAAAAATAATATATGAAATATATTAGTGTGGATAGCAAATATATTTGAACTGACCACCTATTCTACAAACAAAAATTACATATAAAAATTTAATTGAATGCATAAATGTTTTAACTTGTACAATTAGAAAAATTAGTACAATCATAAGCACCCATTCACCTGGCAACAACAGTATAATACATTCAAATGTAAGCCACCATGTACAACTCTTTGAAAGAAAAAATTATATCTTTGTCAAGTGACATTGTGCACCAGACTTTAGGGTCGGATGTTGTGCACAAATTACATTATGTGAATTCCCACAACAGCCCTGCACAATAACAAACAAAGGATTTATTTATACATACTCATAAGTAAATCCTTAAAACTAACAAAACTATTCTTAACTACCAATAATGGTGCACACCCACTATTTTGGTGTGCAATAAGAGCTTGTGTAAGCCAAAGGCTCCATATCCTTAACCGGTTCAATTTCCCTAGAGACACCTAAATGATAGAAAAGAAAATCATGCATTAGATGAAAAGAAAACAAAATGAGGAGCTGAGATGGGGAATTAGGGTAGGCTAAATAAATAGCAAATAGACAAAGCATAAAAAATCTCACTGTTCATCGCTATTATTGTCTTTAACAACCAACTCAAACGGCTACGTTTTAGATCCCTCGTTCTCAATCACATATCTCATTGTTTTCCAAAACCAAATCAAAGAAATAAAAACATATTTTTAAAATAAAAACTATTAAAACATAATAAGTAATAGAGAAAGTCATACCTTTAGTTTTTTTGAGCGAAAGGAATATTAGATATTAAGCGATTTAGGGGAGGAGATTGTCGACGTGTCACCTCACTGCCATAGATATGTAAGTGGGTTAAGATTCATGCCCCATTTCATACTCATAATATTTAAGTGCAACTATTTAATAGTAAAAATAAATAAGAATTGTAAATATACATAGATCATCATGGCAAAGTACACATTTTTTAGTAAACAGATCCGCACATTTATTTGTCTCTCTCTTCCACAAATAAAAATAAATCAAACACATTTTCTACTTCTCTCAAACTCAATTTTGTTCTCATTTAAATACAAAAATACCAACTAATTAATTGTTCATTCTCATAAAGTATCAATAACAAAAATTAATTAATATAAAAAAAAATGTTCAGTAAAATTGTAATTAGAGAAAATAAATCACAACAAAACAATAGGAGAACATTACATACATAAATAAGTTATGAATCATAAAAAAATAATAATTTAATATAATATAATAGAAAATTATGAATACATACTAATAGTTGATAATTTAATCCCATAATTTTCATGAAAAACATGCAAAACAAATAAGAAGAATATAAAAACAGTAATGAAATAATATAATATGTTCCAAAAAGTGCTATTCAAGCAAAAAATGAGATTATATTAGGTCTAAAAGTGCAGTCCACCTTATACATACACATTTATTAAATGACAAAAAAAAAGATTAACACTTTAATAAAAAAATATAATAAATTATAATGGATTTTAGTTTTTGATCTATATTTAATTATTGAACTTAAATTTGGGGCCTTTTTTATGTGTGGGGCCTAAACCCATGCTTTTTCAGCTCTATTGTTGAGCCGAACATGACTCCTTGCAGTGGGTGGTTCAATGTGTGTTGGAGGCGCTAGGTAGAGACAGAGAGGAAGGGAGAGGGAGTTACTCCGGTGTGGTATGTATTGCAGCAGGGGGGAAAGTTAGAGATAAGAGGAGGTAGCTTGTTTCTTAAAATGAGAGAGTTAGATGAGAGATAAGGAAGAGGGAAAGATAAAGAGAGTTGTTGGGAAAGAGAAGGGCCAGGTGAGGAAGTTAAGGAAGTGGGAAAAAGAGAGAGTTGTTGGGATGTTGGGTGAGATAAGGAGGGACACTTAGATGAGAGATAAGGAAGAGAGGAAGAGAGAAAGAGAGAGAGTTGTTGGGTGAGATAAGGAGGGAGACTTAGATGAGAGACAAGGAAGAGAGAGAGAGAGAGAGAGAGAGAGAGAGAGAGAAGGGTGCCGGGTGAGGATATAGATTAAAAATGGAAGAGAGGAGGGAGAGAGGGAGAGAGAGAGAGTTGGTGGGTTGCTGGGTGAGATAAGGAGAGGGACTTAATTTGCTTTTAAAAATGAAAGAGAGGAGGGAGAATGTATCAGTTGATAGAGAGTTATAGTATAAGACAGAAAGATAAAGTTATACAAGTGATAAAACTCTTTGTACTCGGTATGAGATAAGGGAAAAGAGTTAACGAGAGATAGGAGTGTTAAAAAAGTTTGGCACGAGTATCGTTTGATCAATAATATTGAATCGATCAAAATCATAAAAAGTTAAAGATAAATCAAATTAACTATTTTATTATATAGATATTAAAAAAATATTTAGAAAATATTCAAAGAATATTTGAGGTGACTTATTGCCCGATATATAGTTTGATGGTAGAAATTTTTTTTTGCCATTTTTGATAGTTTCTATATTGGTTGTGGTCTCATTGCCCCAATATTAACAGTAGTTATAATTTTCACATATAGGCAATGTTTGACATGTCTTATTAAATTCAAAAGTACTTCTTGAATAATTATTTTTTCAAAAATATTTAATTAAAAAATACTTTTTTTCATAAGCACCGTTTGGATGCTCATTAAAAAAAGTATTTAAATAAAAATAATTTTACAAAAATCATATTTGGATGGTCAATTAAAAAAGTATTTATTTGTATCACAATTACAAATATACCTTTCAATTAAAAAATTAAATTACACCTAATCAGGGGCATATGTATCTTACCCATCGATGTGATTTAATTACATAAAATAAGTAAAGAAAAGCAAAAATGCATGATTAGTACAATGAATAAATAAAAAATAAATTATTCTAAACATGTAGCCTTTTAAATTCCTAAGGGATCAGCAGATAGAGGATAGGTCAGTTAAATAGGAGATCAGCTGAATTGAAAGAGCTGGGCAGTGCAGTAGTTGATCAGCTGAAGCTGGCAGCCAATAAGGATGTAGCAAACTCCAGCTGAAGGAGAAGATCAGCTGGAGTGTTAAGACACCAGCTGACAGACTCCTAGCGAAATAAAACTTATGCAGTATTCCAGTTGAAGGAGCTCCAGCTGAAGTCCAGCTGACCTGTGACGTGAACAGTGCAATGAAAGCTGCTGACTGCATTGATGCCTGCCGAGAACCCAGCTAAAGGAGAACTAATCAGACTGCTGAGCTACTCTAGCTATGTGAATCCGGCTGAAACAGAAAATCAGTTCCAGCTGCAGCAAAAAGGGGTCCATCTGAAGCAGTTGAAGCAGCCGAGGCAGATGAAGGCAGACAGCTGAGAATCCAGCTGAAACAGCTACAGCAGCTGAACAGCAGTCCAGATGAAGCATAGACAGCAGCAATCAATTTGAGTTTGCCAGTCGAAGGACATAACCAGCTGACCCACTTAATTCGAATAACTGCTGTAATGGAAGAATGAACGTTAAGAGCCAGCATCATTAATTTCTCCTGTAGGATTGGCCATTTCATTCCTTTAATCATCTGGAAACCAGTATGATTTAAGTACGAGCATTCCGTGCCAATGGAAACATCCAATGGACCTGTGGAGTGGGATCTTGACTTAGATGTTGGGTTCTTAGGTTTTCGTGGATCACGAGGAATTATTGAATTCCTTATTAACTATTGGGCCCGTGGTGAGCACCTACAGGGATTTAGAAGCAATTAGAAATCCATCCAATGAGGTACAACAATTGAGACACGAATTATGGAGCTCCTGGAACATTTACCTAGCATAAAAAAGCATGTATGCCCCTCTGGTCAAGACCTCTTCCAGTTCCACCGCCTTTACCTACACAACCATCACAAGAATTGGGTTCAAAGCTTTGAGAGAATGACATAAATCCCCTGTTCAGTAGCTCAATACATAAATATGAAAGGAAGTAGAGCAGACAGAAGTTGCCTTAATAAATCCCTAATCGAAAAACTTGTTTAAATGTGCAAATTGAAGGTAGAAAGAACATACTCTACTATCATCAATCTTGAACCATTTCTTCTGAATATTCTTAACATAGCACACATAGTGACCAGAAAACGCATCGTTCATGACATCCAAGTGAACTAACACTCCATAAAGTCTGTGCAGTATAACTGCCTGAATACATGGGCTAGAACCTATGTCTGAGCAGGGGGCTGAATCAATATATTCAATTCATAAAGCCTACACTGACAACATTTCTCAAAAGGTTAACAAATAAATACAAGACTGGTTTCATGTAATACTTTTTCTGAATTTCAAGCTATTCAAAGGAAAAGCAAGCATCATAATTTCAATGCTAACCATCAAGCTCCACAAAATATATTTTTTTTGTTCAAATTCAGTTGCAATTTCTTTTGTATTGAGCAATGTATTTTTTTTTATTTTTAGTTTTGCAAAAGGATGCCCTACAACATAACACCACTATTAGGGATGGAATTGAAATTCCAAAAAAATTGCAACTGAGTTTCCATTATTTTCAAGTCTTTTAGGGCAATATCATTGCTTAACCTCACAACCATCTTCTTAACAGGTGATCTTTCTCTTTCACCCATCACCCCAAACCACAAAGCAACAGGGATGCCTAGTAAAGCATTATATGGTGGGACTTGTGTAGTGTTTAGCAGGGTTACCCACTGCAAAGACTACTCATGACTAAAAAAATTAGCCACAAGGATTGCATAGAGTCCAATACATCCAGATAGCTACTGCTCCATCTTTATAAGGTCCCTTTTCCCTCAAACATGAGAGCAACTTTCAACAACTTATCCAGTAATGATCTAATTGGAGAAAGAAAAATGAAAAAGACACCAAACTGGCAAGACAAGAAGCAATTATCATCCAAACTTGTGAACAAATCGAACACATTTTATCAAACACCTTGCATGCATATTCATGGATATAAAATCTGAAACAAATCAAAAAAAGACAATCTAAAAACAAACAAAATAAAAGCAAACATCACAATAAAAACCGAACAGAAGATATCTCGGTGAATGCTACGGTAACCACCTCCATCAAGGAATTAATATGTTCACCATCCATTGCAACATCAGATTTCACATCAACCATCGATGAGAGAGAAGGCTGCTCCGACATCATCAATGGAACTCTCCGGCGTCGTCAATGGTCATCGAGAAGATAGAAGAAACTGTGGTGGACGATGGTTACACATCGACACAGCTCCGATGGTATCGGGAGAGATCGGAGGAGTGAGGACGAGAGCCGTTTTTTATTTAAAATTTTAACTTTTAGTTAATAACTTATTAAAATTATTTTTACTTATTAAAAAGTGTTTTTGAAAAATTTATCCAAACATTCTTTTTTTGTTAAAAGTTCCTTCTCTGGTAGTGATGGTGTTCTAAAAAGACAATATATAATATAAATGAGTTGTTATTATTTTATATATCGGTCAAAAATTAATTTAAAAGTCAATTATTGTAATTTACTTTAAAATTAAAATAAATTATTATAAAAAAAAGTGTATTTCAAGATATATATATATTTATATATATTTATTTTAAATTATGTAAAATTGTGTCTGATTCTCTTAGGTTTTCAAGATTGTTCGTGGTTGCATACTTGTCGTGAGAGCCACCTTCGGTTTAAATGGTCGTCTTCTATATGTTGTTTCGTGTCTGATCACACTAGACTAAATTATCGATCCAATTGTATATATTCCGTTTTTATTTACTTGATCAGTGTAATTGAATTTATTTATTAGTTTTTTATGACGTTAGAATAGGATCTGGACAGAGACAACAAGGAACTTTCTCTCACCCTCTCTCTTTCGTACATAGACAACCAGACACAAGCAAAACAACGGAGCCTCAACTAGTCAGCCGAAAATTTTGACATAATTAACACTAGAAATGAAATTTAGTATCACTCGGTTAATCAACAAGTTTAAAACAGTTTTGACCACTACAAATTAATTTTCTTTCCAAAAGCGTTACGTTAGGTGACCCGATTACAACATGGTTTGTCGTGGTCATTGTTACCTTAGCAAAGTGATCATGTCACACATTCAGTTATGGGCTAAATATCCAAATTAGTTTCAAGTCTACGATAAAGAATTTGTGAATAAATAAATATATATTAGAGAGGACATAAAGTTCATGCTCTACCTTTTTTCTCAAAAAGAATTTGGAGTCTAATTTGGCTAAAGCTCTTCAATATCCATTATTATCAATAAGTTGGAATTTTACTAGTTAATACAAAATTAACATAGTATAAATTAAAAAATAACATGCTAAGAAATTGATGAGCTCGGATTTTACTGGGTCAAGCCCAATTTAAATAAATCGAGAAAGCACAAAAAAGCGTTCATTGTCGACCCATCGAGCAGGACACCAAGAGGACATCACCAAAAGCCAACGGCCGAAAAAGGAGGAGGACAAGGGAGCCCTTGGGCGCCGCCCATGGCAGGCCCTTGGGGGCCCCTCCTTTGATCTTCCTTACCTTAGTACTCCAGGTCCAAGCCAAATCTACTCAAGACAGGTCTATGTCCAAGACAAGTCCAGGTCCAAGTCCAACTAATGTTCTTCTTCGGATGAATAAGAACACGAGGGAAGATAATATGGAAATAGATATAGAAGATCTCCTACCATAGCAATACTTGCCAAAGCAATAGAATTCTTCTCCCTCACGTCACCGCCTCTACTACCTTACCCTAACTATATAATGTAAGCCCTCTCAACATGAAGGGACTGAAACGCCTCAAAGGACCTTCTTGAGACCTCTACACCTTGAAGCCTCCAAAACCTCTCCGCACTTATCTCTCTTTCTCTCAAAAGCATTGTAACTCTCTGGAGACCATGATTCATTAATAAAGAACACCAGGCCACCGCTGCCGTTTTCGAGAGTGGAGTAGGTCACCCGGATTGAATCACTATAAATTCTTGTATTGATCTATTATTTACTATTTTACTCTTAATTGTCATTGATTGCTTGTTTGTCACTCATTAATTGTACCCTTACACATACTTGACTGTTGATCTTGCACGAAGACAGTTTTGTGTATCATCAGTTTGGCGTTGTCTGTGGGAAACGACTAATTTTTCTACTCACTCAGTCCATGACAATCACTACTCGATCGATGAGCCAGCAACCGGGAGACAACAACCCAGCTCACCCCAGGAGGAGACTTTGCCTCACACTGCACCTATGGAACCTTTCACTACTACCACTCCTATCGCTGGACAACAGCAACAACTCCTCCAAACCATGAAGCTGATGGTGAACCAAAACCAGCAAATCATCCAACTCATGCTCTCCCAAGGAGGCGTCGCGCATCACTCCGCAGAAAGAGTCCCACTCCCTCCAACAGGAGAGGAGCCGCTACCTGTCCTTTCTGGGCACCAGGTCTCTCGCCAGAATGTTCCAGGGCCACGTCAGGGAGCCCCTTGTCAAGCGATCCCTCCTCAACGCGTAGGGAGTACACATGTTCTCCTTTCACACGTGCCTGCGCCGGAGGACGAAGGAAAAAGTCAATATGGAGACCACGAGAGCCAATACCATCACCCGATCGAAGATGTCCCCAACCAGTGGGACGAGAAGATCAGGGAAGTGCGGGACCAACTTGGTAATGCTCTCAACACTATCAAGGCGTAGGCGCTTGAAACCATGGACTATCTGGTAAGGCGCACTGATACTCCTTTTGTTACTGACATTGTTAATTACTCGTTGCCTTCGAAGTTCAAGATGCCCACCATCGAGATCTTCGATGACACCAAAGACCCCCTCGACCACTTAGACACCTATAAATCCCTTATGCAACTACACNGGGACCAACTTGGTAATGCCCTCAACACTATCAAGGCGCAGGCGCTTGAAACCACGGACTATCTGGTAAGGCGCACTGATACTCCTTTTGTTACTGACATTGTTAATTACTCGTTGCCTTCGAAGTTCAAGATGCCCACCATCGAGATCTTCGATGACACCAAAGACCCCCTCGACCACTTAGACACCTATAAATCCCTTATGCAACTACACAACATGCCTGAGGAGATTATGTGTAGAGTCTTCCCTACCATTCTCAAGGGGCCCACATGTCAATGGTTTGCAAATATCAAGCCCTCCTCCATCCACTCCTTCGTAGAACTCAGCAAGTCCTTCATCTCCTACTTTATTGGGGGACGCCGACATCAGAGATCAGTGACCCACCTGTTCACCATCAAGCAGGACAGGGATGAAAGCCTGAGAGACTACCTTGCCCGCTTCAACGAGGAGGCTCTCCAGGCTTTTGCCGCCTTTATCGCTGGCCTCCACACCTCCAGTTTCATGTTCTCTGTCCTCAAGAGGCTGCCCTCCAACATGCCCAAGTTGCTGTCAAGGGCACAGAAATACATGAATGCCGAGGACGTCACCAAGGCTCCTCAAGGTGAGTCCTTCCAAGGAGGGGAGAAGAGGAAAGACACTCGTGAAGACAAGTGGGAGGCGGAGAACAAGAGAAAGAGAACCGAAAGAGTTTCTGTGAAGGACCGTCTCAATCNGAGGACGTCACCAAGGCTCGTCAAGGTGAGTCCTTCCAAGGAGGGGAGAAGAGGAAAGACACTCGTGAAGACAAGTGGGAGGCGGAGAACAAGAGAAAGAGAACCGAAAGAGTTTCTGTGAAGGACCGTCTCAATCTGTACCCCCCGAGAGACCGACAACCTTTCACGCCACCCAATGCCTCAGTGAAGCACATCCTATTCCAGATACAGGATGACCCCACACTCCGTGGGCCAGGAAAAATAAAGTCTGTCCCAAACCGTAAAAATCACAGCAGGTACTGTCGCTTCCACCGCGACCATGGCCACGACACAGATGACTGTAATGAGCACAAGAGGCAGATAGAGGAGCTCATACAGCGTGGTCAGTTGAGGCAATACGTTGTTGGCAGAGGACAAACCCTGCCACTTGGTCATTTCCAAAACGACAGAGAACGCCAACAACCCCTCGGAGAAATTCAGATAATCTCTTGAGGGCTACAACTTTGCCACGGAAATATCAGCCCACCAATGGGACACACTTGAAGATTTTATTTATCTTTTACAATTTCAGTTGATTTATTTTGTTATTCATTATTTTATAAAATTTTGCAAGATTAAGGTTTTCATAATTGTCTTGTTTTCATTTCAAACAGCCTACGACCTATCAACAACAAGGTAGACAAAAAGTAAAAAGGCGTCCAGATGAGGGGTCTCGCCCTCTCCACCTTAGGCGCCCTCATGACGGTCTCGCCTTCTCCACCTTGGCACCTCCTTCGATGTTGCTTAGACGATGGGTCTCACCCCTTTTCACCAGGCGACCTAGACGATGGGTCTTACACCCTCTCACCAGGCGGGCCCAGACGATGGGTCTCACTCCCTCTCACCAGGCGGCCTAGACGATGAGTCTCACCCCCTTTCACCAGGCGCCCAGACGAGGGGTATCGTCATCTCCACCTTGGGTGCCCCCATGATGGGTCTCGCCCCCACTCATTAGGCACCAAGCTCATCAGCACCCTCATCATCTCCATCTCAATGGAATGAGCCTCAGGTGTCCAGCTCCTCAACACCCTCCTAATTTTCATCTCGGTGGAATGAGTCTCAAGCGCCCTGCTCCTCAGAGCCCTCTTCATCTCCATCTAAATGGAATGAGTCTCTGCCACGACAGCCTTCTTCTGAGCTATACGTAATTCTACCTCTACTCCGAGTAGCCTCAATCACTAGCTTAGCGCCTCATTTATGAGCCAACCCCAATTGCTCCGCGGCATTCTCTCGTGTTTGTAGCACGAGCCCAACTTGCTCTGCGGCATCTTCTCGTGCCTGCCGCCCTAGCCCTACTGCTCTGTGGCACCATCTCGTGCTTGCCACCTGAGCCCTACTTGCTCCNCACTGCCGTTTTTTAGAACAGAGCAAGTCACCCGGACCGAACTACTATAAATCCCTGTGTTGATCTATTATTTACTGTTTTACTCTTAATTGTCATTGATTGCTTGTTTGTCACTCATTAATTGTATCATTACACATACTTAACTGTTGATCTTGCACGAAATCAGTTTTGTGCATCAGAAATGAATAATAGATAAATTATATTAAAATTAGACGCAAATAATCTATTGANTGCGACATTCTCTCGTGTCTGTCGCTCAAACCCTAATGCTCCGTGGCATCTTCTCGTGCCTGCCACCTAAGCCCTACTTGCTCTGCAACATTCTCTCGTGTCTGTCGCCCGAGCCCTACTTGCTCCGCGGCATCCTCTCGTGCCTGTCGCCCAAGCCTTACTTGCTCCGCAGCATTCTCTCGTGTTTGTCGCCCGAGACCTACTTGCTCCGCGGCATCCTCTCGTGCCTACCGCTCGAGTCCTACTGCTCCGTGGCATCCTCTCGTGCCTGTCACTCAAGCCATACTTGCTCTTCAGCAGCCCTTGTGCTTGCCTCTCTGATATCCTACAGGTCCAAAGGCTCTCGATCATCGAAGTCAGGTCAAAACAGGACAGCTATGTGGAGCTACAGTCCCCATAGAAGACTACACAGGAGTCTTAACTCCAAAGGCTAGCTCTAGAAGTCATAGTCAGGGAAGGAGTGGGGCACCACTAGATCTCGCCTCCCAAAAAGCAACCTGATCATCAAGCGTTGGTTGAAAAGTAATGGGGGCATCACCCTCTTGGGAGGAGGAGAAGACAACACAAAGAACCTCCACCTCCATCATCACCGCCCAGCTCTCCCTCTCGCCCAGAAGAGGCGCCCAAAGCCGTCTGCAATGCTCCTGCCTCGTCTGTCAATTTAGTGTCACCCATCAAGAGCTCCCTCCTTGGACTCTTCAGCTGCTTCTCCAAGAGAGCACCATTGAAGCCCTTTTCACCTCTCCCATCTCCAACGTGGGCACCGCCCAAAATACCTCTATGGGAGACTCCTATGATATCAAGGGCGTGGACTCCTCCTCGCTTTCTCTCCTCCACAACTGCTTGAACTTCTAGTTCCCATGAACTTGTTGTGGTACCGAAGAAAATACAAGAAAAATTTGACTTACTCAGGTGAAGTTGTAGCACATGCCCACAATCCTTTCCTCTCACCGAAAGTCAGAGGCTTGGGGCATGGGGGGCAAGCCCAATTTAAATAAATCGAGAAAACTCAAAGAAGCGCCCATTGTCGACCCATCGAGAAGGACACCAAGAGGACATCACCAAAAGCCAATGGCCAAAGGAGGAGGAGGACCAGGGAGCCCTTGGGCACCCCTCCTCTTGATCCTCCTCATCTTCGTACTCCAGATTCAGGTCAAATCTACTTAAGATAAGTCCAGGTCCAGGTCCAACTAATGTTCTCGTTCGGATGAATAGGAGCACGAGGGAAGATAATATGGAGATAGATATAGAAGATCTCCTACCATAGCAATACTTGTCAAAGTAATAGAATTCTTCTCCCTCACGTCACCGCCTCTACTACCTTACCCTAGCTATATAATGTAAGCCTTCTCAACATGAAGGGCCTGGAACGCCTCCACGGACCTTCTTAAGACCTCTACACCTTTAAGCCTCCAAAACCTCTCCGCACTTATCTCTCTTTCTCTCTCAAAAGCACTGTAACTCTCCGGAGACCATGATTCATCAATAAAGAACACCAGGCCACCGCTGCCGTTTTTTAGAACAGAGCAGGTCACCCGGACCGAACTACTATAAATCCCTGTGTTGATCTATTATTGACTGTTTTACTCTTAATTGTCATTGATTGCTTGTTTGTCACTCATTAATTGTATCATTACACATACTTAACTGTTGATCTTGCACAAAATCAGTTTTGTGCATCAGAAATGAATAATAGATAAATTATATTAAAATTAGACGCAAATAATCTATTGAATTGGTATTATAAAATTGAATGATTATTTCTCAATCTAATATTACATATATATTACTGTAAAATTAAAATTGTTTATTAAATTAAAAACAAATATTATAAGATTCTACTATAATATAAATTAAAATAAAATAACTCAAATTTGACACAACTGAGCTAAAAAAAATTATTTAGACTTAAGTTATTAACTTAATATATCGTAATTATTAAATTAATAATCGATTCCAAATCAACAGTGGAGTAATATTAATTTATCAATATTAAATTAATAAATTAAATTAAAATAAATAATATTCCTACGCAGTTAAAACCATATAAAAGCACTAATGATGCGATATTAAAATCAGTGATACGATAGAATAATAATGGGGCACTTCATATATATATATATATATCATAAAAATGTGCTAGTGGTGGGCCTGTGGGGTCCAATTTGGCCTTCCATTCTCAGGTTTCTCCGGAAACACTTCCCAGAAGTCTCCGGTTAACACTCCATCGCTGGCTGGCCGCTAACGAATGAGCTTCCCTCAACCTCAAAGTCAATTCCCACAGCAATGTCAATTGTCCAACGAAACATCATCCCATATACCCTGTCCACCACTCTCTGTTTCAAAAATCTAACTCCATAAGCCTCCATGAACGAACCTTAGTACTCCTCTTCTTCTATTCTACGTTCCCCAATGGAACCCTGTGGTTTCTTCGTCGTCGTGGTCGTCTTCGTCTTGTTCTTCTTTTTTATCTCGATGCAATTATTGGTTCTTCCTTCTCCGTCAGCTCTCAGCGTCGGCCACCGTAGGCTCCTCCAAGACGGCACCGTTTCATCATGCCCTTTGGATTTTGACGCTATTCGACCGTTGGTCCAGGGCTCAAAACGGTCCACTCTCGACTGCCAATACATCCGGCAAGTTCTCAGGCTCGTCCAGTCGGAGTACCTTCGACGCACAGGCTCATTCCTCCCACCATTGAACAAAGCCGAGTCATGTTGGGAATCGTACGAAACCCTAGTCCACGAATTCGACCCCAATTTCGACATCCGACGCACGTGTGGATTCCAAACCAGTTGGATTTCTCAAGGTTGTATGAACATCACCACACGAGCCGAGTTCGAGGGCAACGTCCCTTGGTTCACCTTAGTCAATATCGTTTCAGCTTGTAACCAGTCCCTAGAGAATGGCTCTCCTTGTGCTTCGTGTACTACCAGCCTCTCGAGTCTTCAAGCTTCGTATTTAACTGGTCCATCGGTCGGAAACGTCTCCGATTGTACGGCCTATCCGTCGATTTACGCCGCAGCTTTCTCAAACCAGTTCGGTCCCACCGATCAAGGTACTGCTATGTGTTTGTTTTCCCTTGATTTTACATCTTCTAGTTCGAAGGATACACAGAAAAAGATTGTGATTTCTGTAGTTGCATTAGTTTGTGGTGTGATTTTATTTCTGGGGGTTTTTGGGTTTTGGTATTTGTGGCGAAAGAGAAGGATTATGAGGAAAAAAAGGAATATTGTGATCAATCATAGTAATTTGGATTTTGGGTTGGAGTCAATTAGTGGAAGTACTACTTTAGTTAGGTTCACGTTTGAGGAAATTAAGCAAGCTACCAAGAATTTTTCAAGGGGTAATATGATTGGGAGAGGAGGGTATGGGAATGTGTACAGGGGTGTGTTGCCAGATGGGTCTGAAGTGGCATTCAAGAGGTTCAAGAATTGTTCAGCGGGCAGTGATGCTACCTTTACCCATGAAGTGGAGGTTATTGCGAGTATTAGGCATGTGAATCTTTTGGCTTTGAGAGGTTATTGTACTGCTATTACTTCTTTGGAGGGTCACCAGAGGATAATTGTGTGTGATTTGATGAAGAACGGGAGTCTTCATGATCATCTTTTCGGGTTGGTGGAGAAGAAGCTAAGTTGGCCTATTCGTCAAAAAATTGCACTTGGGACTGCAAGGGGTTTGGCTTATTTGCATTATGGGGCACAGCCAGCAATAATGCATAGAGATATTAAAGCTAGTAATATACTTTTGGGTGAGAGGTTTGAGCCCAAAGTGGCGGATTTTGGCCTTGCAAAGTTCACGCCCGAGGGAATGACACATTTGAGCACTAGGGTGGCCGGGACAATGGGCTATGTTGCCCCTGAGTATGCATTGTATGGGCAGTTAACAGAAAGGAGTGATGTTTATAGTTTTGGTGTTGTGCTTCTGGAGCTTTTGAGTGGGAAGAAGGCACTTCTTGTGGCTAATGAGGGGCAACCGGCTCTAGTGACTGATTGGGCATGGTCACTGGTGAGACAAGGGAGAACTTTAGATGTTATTGAAGATGGTATGCCGGATTTGGGCCCTCCAGAAGTTATGGAGAAGTATGTGTTGGTGGCTGTTCTTTGTTCTCACCCACAATTGTATGCTAGGCCAACAATAGACCAGGTTGTGAAGATACTGGACACAGGTATACCAGTTCCCACAATACCTGAACGACCAATTCCTCTTATTGCGGATATTGATGACATAGAGAGATCTGTGAGCAGCAGTGGCTCGGGTGATCTATCTGCAAGAATGACCACTCTCTCATACCTAAGGAAGAAGAGGAGAATTCAGGTGGCTGATAGAAGTTGTTCGATTTGCAAGGTCTCACACTAAGAGGTGACTTGAAGTCTCCAATTCTGAGCTTCCATAATTTGTAATGCTCATCTTGATTTATTTAGATTTGGATGGTGTAGTTTTGTAGTTGTAATTACCCACTATAGTCCCTTCGTTAATTTAGCTTGTGTGGTTCCTGAAATTGGAATTGTTGATACCGATTGTAAAGTGAATAATACATGTAGAATGGGACTTTATTCTTTCGAACCTAATAGTTAAAAACAGAGCATGATTACAGTTTTTTGCTGCTCAAAGATGTCTTTTAATAAGTTAAAACTGTATTCTGGCTCTCGAACATGGAAGCTGCCGCAGTTTTAGCACACCATATCAGACCATAGGATCATGCACAAAGTCATATATTTTATGACATTTTGTTTGTCATGAAAACACACAAATCCAATTCTTCAAGCTTTCTGCCTTACACCTTTTGCACCCCAAGTGTACAGGGTGACTGAAATCTATAATATGAAACAAAGTAGATTTTTGACGGTCTCAAATAAACTTATTTAACGGTTATCAACATCGCATTGCACCATATTTTTATTTTCTAGGCTGGGGTTGCCCCTAATATTGATGTAATCTATCTATGTTGAGCTTGGTGATGTGCAAGGTGATAAGATGGGCAGAAGTTGAGATTTGATGGTAAGAGTCGACTGGGTATTTCTACAAACGTAGTGGCTCGGGGGATATCTGTGTTTTGGTTCGTGATGATAACTCTTGATGATATCGCTGACTCCCTTGTGAAGTTTAAATAACATGTATGGTGAAAGTTTGATTATTTTGATTCTCTTAGAAACAGAGCCCAACAATATTGGTGTTCTTGTGCCAATCTTTTATAACTTTTACACTAACGCTATTCCTCCTTTCTTCGCTGATTGCCTTGGCCAAAGCAGAGACTATGGCTGCTTGCCAAATGAAGTATCGACGACTCTTTTACATTAAACAGAAGAATCATGTATCATGGCTGTGCCAATAATGCAGGAATTTTATTTTCGTTTGGTGATTATGTACTTGTTTGATACTATAACTTGTGAGAGCATTCGGCCACTGGAATGAAATTTCTATACGTATTTGATTTGACCCGAGGGTTGCACCGATCCGCCTGTGTTCATGTTGGTCAAGTTCAAGCAAAGCCCATTTTGGTCTACCGCCAACGAAATAAAAAGCCCGTTTTGGTCGAGCACGGATAAAATAAGAGCAGTCTAATAACCCATCAATATTGTGTCTGGGGAAATATAAATGTACAATCTTATTTTTTCCATTAGAAAATATAATTTTTGTGATTTAAACTTGGGATTAAAGTTGATAATCTTAACTCATTACTCATTAATTCGCTCAACTCGTCTATAAATAAATGAGTTGGGTACTTATATGAAGTAATGCGGGTTTTAACTAAGTTAGGTAATATGATTTATTTTAATTAAGCGTATTAATATAAGTTATAAATGGATACTCATTGGTTTGAGTATTTATCTTTTTATTATATAATATAAGTAATAAAATTAAATAAATATACTAATATATCAAAAAATGCACACATATACACTAATACAGCAAAACACACACACTAACACACTAAAAACACGCACACACTAATACACCACCCATGACTCGTGGGTAGACCAGTGACTCGTGACCCCAACCCATGACCCACAGTCAACCCTGATCCATTATGTGTGTGTAATTTTTTTTAATTAAATGTGTTTTAATTTTTGTGTTAATGTATGTGTATTTTTGTTGTATTAATGTGTGTGTTTTAGTGTATTAGTGTGTGTATTTTGTGTGTTTTGGTGTATTAATGTATGTGTGTGTGTGTGTGTTTGTATTTTGGTATACTAATGTGTGTGTTTTAGTGTACTAATGTGTGTCTATTTTGAATTTTAATTATTTTATGAGTTAATGGGTTTAACCCAACTCATTATAAACTCAATATATTATAACCCATTTAATACATAAGTGAAAAATAAATTAGATTTATTTTAGGGTCCTTTAGAGACCGGTACACTTTTTTTGTAGACTTATTTAGACTTAAATCCACTCAAAAAACTTGTTTGGAAGTAAATTCATTTTGATCTCTATTATCCAAAATACTCTAAATAGTTATATTTAATCAAAACTTGATTGAAAAAACTAACAATTCCTAACTTCAAAGTGTGTTAGAATTAAAGTTATTTTTATATTATATATATATCCATTATATTTTTCAAATGTTTATCCATTATTTTTTTCAAAAATTTATTATCATATCACTTATTATTTTTTGGGTGTCTATTCCAGACCCTTATTTAGTTAAAGTTTATCAACTTTTTGTATGCATTTATTTTTTAGGTTCACTTCCATCCTTTTGGGTTCATTTATTAGAGCAATTCTAAGGGGGAGTTGCCGCCCCATAACTGCGTAACTGTCAAAATATAATTTTAAATTCAAAATTTTTCATTTCAACAGAAATGACAACAATGCTTTCAGAGTATCAATTTTTCAAATTTTGGAGAAAGAAAGGAAAAGGTTGTAAAACACTCTTCAAGGTTTGTACGAATATTTATAATTCAGGCATTCAAGGTTTGTACACATATTTGTATTTAATGAAATAAAAAATATTAAAATATTAAAATATTAAAATAATATCCCATTTTAGCACATATTATTAGAACAAATTTATAATTTAAAGATGTTAAAATACTGTTCAAAGTTATAAATAAACGATTTGACACCCTAAAATAGTAACTCTCTTTGGAATTGCTCTTACATTTTGGCGGAGGGCATGACATTTTGAGTTAAAATTTATCCTTCGTTTAGATTTTTATTTTTTAATATGATATCAAACGTAATGTAATCCAACACACAGACATATAATGGCATTAGCGTCCATCTGGCATTGGATACCTTTCTTATTTGACAACAATTTGAGAGTGACTAGTCACTTGTTTACGTTTCTGCTTTTGTTGCCATATTTATGTGGTATCCATCCGTATCCGTCCGCACCGACAGACCAAGGGAAATATAGCCCAAGTGGAAGGGCATCCAGCCATCGTTCCCTGCACAAGCCTACTGGGTTCGAGTCTTGCTCCAAATAAATAAATAAAAATCTGCAACAAAAGCCAAAAATAACAGGTCAGACTCTGGTGGCAAAAATGAGTCAATATCCAGAAGGCGCATAAGTGAACCTTAAATTTAAATGTCCTTAGTTCGAATTCTGATAACTATTTAGAGTTAGTAAATTTCTCATAAACGCTCTAGTCTTGGTAAAAATGATTTATCTCTGACTGAACCAGAAATGAGATTAATTGAGATATACGTTAGATGAGATATACGTTAGATGGTTCCAAGACTCTATACTATTGAAATAAATAAGAAATGAGTCAAAATCAAATGGTGGACCACTAGAAGACGTGTTCTAATGTGGAGCCTAATCTTCAGAGAGTTTTCTTTTCAATCTTTTAGGATAGGTTAGAAAAGCAATCAACTTTTTTTTTTTTTAATAAAGGTTTAGTGGATTGAAATGAATTCAACAATCCCGTTATTATTTTAATAAATAAGGTAAAAAACAAAAACCCAACAAAAGAAATTCAAATTAAATAAATACAGGTTGCGGTGATTAGGACTCTGTTGGATTGGCTCTACTACTCTAACCTACATAGATTAAACAAATAAGTAGAACCATTGTATTTTTGTTGATCCTAGAAATATAAAATTCTGGCTTTGTCCACATGCTTTGCTTCCGAGGCATATACTTCCTTGTTTGTGTAAATCAAGAGCCACAATAGTGATTAGAAAAACTAGTCACGGCAGATGTGCAAATATTCTCCAATTAAACTTCATGTAAGCTGCTCACACATGTAAAGACAGTGGGGAATGAGCTGGAGAAGGCCCCATTTAGAAAAAGACAAGTGGGACAAATTCATTTCTCTCTCTTTTAAAACAGAACAGAATGGTCAAAAACACATTTTCACTCTGCGGAATTCGAAAGAGATAAGTGGTAGATAACCTCATCCTCATTTTAAAGAAGTTCATTCCCGGATTCAAANTTTCAACAGAAATGACAACAATGCTTTCAGAGTATCAATTTTTCAAATTTTGGAGAGAGAAAGGAAAAGGTTGTAAAACACTCTTCAAGGTTTGTACAAATATTTATAATTCAGGCATTCAAGGTTTGTACACATATTTGTATTTAATGAAATAAAAAATATTAAAATATTAAAATAATACCCCATTTTAGCACATATTATTAGAACAAATTTATAATTTAAAGATGTTAAAATACTGTTCAAAGTTATAAATAAGCGATTTGACATCCTAAAATAGTAACTCTCTTTGAAATTGCTCTTACATTTTGGCGGAGGGCACGACATTTTGAGTTAAAATTTATCGTTTTTTTAGATTTTTATTTTTTAATATGATATCAAACGTAATGTAATCCAACACACAGACATATAATGGCATTAGCGTCCATCTGGCATTGGATNGAGAACTTGAAAATTTGTTCAAGGAGGAGACTGAATAGACCTGAATCTTTGAAATGCATTCATAAAAAGAGATGATTCAGAATTTTTTCGGTAGTGAAAGTGACAGGTGAAAGAAAATACATGGGCATGACGACAATTGAATTGATTAACAAGACAACAAAAAGGGTTTCCTTTCATTTCAATGCCCGTCACTGAAATTGGATGCCTTATCTTCGAAAAAAAGTTGCCCCTCTCTCCACATCTGTTCTTTGTTTCANGTGGGTTCGAATCTTGCTCCAAATAAATAAAAAAAAATCTGCAACAAAAGCCAAAATTAACAGGTCAGACTCTGGTGGCAAAAATGAGTCAAAATCCAGAAGGCGCATAAGTGAACTTTAAATTTAAATGTCCTTAGTTCGAATTCTGATAACTATTTAGAGTCAGTAAATTTCTCATAAACGCCCTAGTCTTGGTATAAATAATTTATCTCTGACTGAACCAGAAATGAAATTAATTGAGATATACGTTAGATGGTTCCAAGACTCTATACTATTAAAATAAATAAGAAATGAGTCAAATTCTAATGTGGAGCCTGCCTAATCTTAAGAGAGTTTTCTTTTCAATCTGTTAGGATAGGTTAGAAAAGCAATCAACTTTTTTTTTTTTAATAAAGGTTTAGTGGATTGAAATGAATTCAACAATCCCGTTATTATTTTAATAAATAAGGTAAAAAACAAAAACCCAACAAAAGAAATTCAAATTAAATAAATACAGGTTGCGGTGATTAGGACTCTCTTGGATTGGCTCTACTACTCTAACCTACATAGATTAAACAAATAAGTAGAACCATTGTATTTTGGTTGATCCTAGAAATATAAAAATCTGGCTTTGTCCACATGCTTTGCTTCCGAGGCATATACTTCCTTGTTTGTGTAAATCAAGAGCCACAATAGTGATTAGAAAAACTAGTCAAGGCAGATGTGCAAATATTCTCCAATTAAACTTCATGTAAGCTGCTCACACATGTAAAGACAGTGGGGAATGAGCTGGAGAAGGCCCCATTTAGAAAAAGACAAGTGGGACAAATTCATTTCTCTCTCTTTTAAAACAGAACAGAATGGTCAAAAACACATTTTCACTCTGCGGAATTCGAAAGAGATAAGTGGTAGATAACCTCATCCTCATTTTAAAGAAGTTCATTCCCGGATTCAAATCCGCCACATAGACCAAATTTGGGAGAGAAAAATTGGATGTAAATGGCATAGAGATATGTTCATAGAAGTATAATCGTAGAAGACATCAAAACATCTACCAAAAAGACGTAAATTCTATCCAAGTTATAAGAATAAGTGTGAAATCCGATGGGAAGAGTTTCACAAATATCGTCTTAAGATCCTACAGACCATTAGATTGAGAACTACCTCCTTTGCTGTCTCTATGTACAACCAGGGACCATGTTCCTAATAAGAAAGAGACAGAGGATGCAAAGCAGCAGACTTGAGTAATTGGGTAGTCAGTTTTAAGTAGGAATATAGCCCACTTGGGCATGTACTTCTTTCAAAAGATTCCACCTTTGGGGTACATGTTAGCCTTCTTGCTTCTCTCTTCCTTCCACGTGTATCTTTGGTCTTAAATTTACCTCAACTTATGTTTTTTTTGTTAGGCATATAACATACCCAAATATAGAATTTACAGAAAGAGTGGATAGGAACATATCTTTTGTTAATGACTTTTGCACCTCATACTACTTGCTTCTCTTCCCCACGTATCTCCCCTGAGTTTGAAGTTTGAATTCATCTTTGTTAAGATTGTTAGGGTATTATATAAATACCATTAAAGAGTATACACGTCTTTTGTATGGTTACAAGTTTAATATAAATACAAGTGACTTGTAAGAGGTAGGTTAAGTTTTTAACTACTCCCTGTTTCTCCAATATTGTGTTATGTTATTTCTCTAAACTTAACATGGTATCAGAGCAATAGATCTAAACTTACTCTGCAATTAATTCAATTAATCTTTCTTTTCTTGCTATTAATCTAATTAAATTATCAATTCTTTCTCTTTTTTTTTTCCTCTCGTTATTCCTTGTTCTGTCGCTGGTGCATCCATGGCCATGGCATAGGGTCGTTGTTTGACCAGTAGCCATGGCTAGTGCTTGTGTTGATATCGGTTGTGGAAGGCAATGAAATCCGGCATATGGCCCAGTTCACTTGATCAGGGGGTGGTTCTGGTCTGGTTCAACACTCCAACAGGCTCACTCAAGCCGGTTCGTCAATCCAGCAACATTATTTGATCGAGTTCGCCGCTACAGTAGTCTATCCAGTCTGGTTCAGTGCTTGAGTAGTCTTGCCCAGTCCGGTTTATCACTCTAGTAGCCTTGTTCAATTTGGTTCAGTGCTTGAGCAGTCTTGTCTAGTCTAGTTCATCATTCCAGCAGCCTTGTTTGGTCTGGTTCAGGCACTTAGTCTATTGTTCCGTGCTCCTTGGCGTTCTCCCAACCTCTTCCTTTCACTAAAACACGATTTTTTTTCCTTTGGTTCTATTATTGCTATATTATTATGGAACCCAAGAATAAAAATGATGATAGTCAAGCTAATCTTATTCCATCCATGTCACCGAATTTTTTTCCTACAGTTCTAGTTAATGGTCCCATGACATCTGTTAAACTCAATGAGACTAATTATGTTTTGTAGTCACGATCTGTTCAATTGTTTCATAGAGATAAATGTTTTAAGAAATATTTAGTGGCCACTAAACTAATGAAGGCACTCATGTGTATGATAAGTGTGAGCAAGAAGATGCTCAGATTATTTCATTGCTATTGAATAATATTGAGCCAGTATCAATTCTACTTTGCTTTATCTTAGACATGGCCAAAGAAATCTGGAATCACTTAGCCCCCATGTATTTTGGCACTGGGAATTTCACTCGTGCATATGAAGTATGAAAATAGTTCTGGAGCAGGGTATTCTGAGTCTTGAGGACTATTACTCTCATGTTCGAAGAGTGTGTGAGGAGTTGAAGCTCTATCACCCCTTTACTACTGATGCATCGGTTTGGCAGAAACAACATGAAAATTTGAATGTTGTCCTATTTTTAGTTGGTTTGAAACTTGAATATGAGTCTATTCGTTCTCAGATTTTGGATGACTCTAGTCTTCTATCTCTACTGGAAGTTTTTCTCCCGCTTGCAGCGTGCTACCTTCTCTACTGATTCATCCAACACGGAGTTTGGTGTGCCTGTTGATCGTTCAGCTCTTGTTGTCTTGAGTGGCCACGGTGACAGTTCCCGAGGTGGCCGTGGTAACCGTGGTGGTTGCGGAGGTCGAGGAGGTCATACTGATAGTTGTACTGGAGGTCGTGGAGGGCAGTCAGGATCTCGTTCATGCTCTCACTGTGGTTGTGGAGGCCACACTATTGATTATTATTGGGATTTACATGGCAAGCCAACGGGTGTTGCTAATCAGGTTTCTTATCAGAATGACACCTCGATTCCTACCACTATACCTCAGGTTACCTCAGATAACCGTGGTGATAAGATTTCTTATCAGTGCTGAGATTGAATATAGCGCAATGAAACATACAACTAGTGAATTGACGTGATTACTACACTTTTTCTAGGAAATTAATTTTTCAATTCAACCTTCTTTACAATTGTTTTGTGACAATCAGACAACTATTCATATTACTGCTAATTCAGTATTTAATGAGAGAACCAAACATATTGAGGTTGATTGTCATTTTATTCGAGATAAATTAATAGCTGAAGATATTACGANGCCGTGGTAACCGTGGTGGTTGCGGAGGTCGAGGAGGTCATACTGATAGTTGTACTGGAGGTCGTGGAGGGCAGTCAGGATCTCGTTCATGCTCTCACTGTGGTTGTGGAGGCCACACTATTGATTATTATTGGGATTTACATGGCAAGCCAACGGGTGTTGCTAATCAGGTTTCTTATCAGAATGACACCTCGATTCCTACCACTATACCTCAGGTTACCTCAGATAACCGTGGTGATAAGATTTCTTATCAGTGCTGAGATTGAATATAGCGCAATGAAACATACAACTAGTGAATTGACGTGGTTACTACACTTTTTCTAGGAAATTAATTTTTCAATTCAACCTCCTTTACAATTGTTTTGTGACAATCAGACAACTATTCATATTGCTGCTAATTCAGTATTTCATGAGAGAACCAAATATATTGAGGTTGATTGTCATTTTATTCGAGATAAATTAATAGCTGAAGATATTACGACTCTATTTGTAAGGTCTAAGGATTAACTTGCAGACATGTTTATCAAAACATTGAGTGGTACTAGTCTTATAGCTATTTGTTTCAAACTTGAATTATATGATATATATAGTTTACCTTGAAGGGGAGTGTTAAAATTATTAGGGTATTATGTAAATACCACTAGAGGGTATACACGTCTTTTATATGATTATAGATTAAATATAAATATAAATAATTTGTGAGAAATAGATTAAATTTTTAACAACTATCTGTTTCTCAATTATTANGTTACTACACTTTTTCTAGGAAATTAATTTTTCAATTCAACCTCCTTTACAATTGTTTTGTGACAATCAGACAACTATTCATATTGCTGCTAATTCAGTATTTCATGAGAGAACCAAATATATTGAGGTTGATTGTCATTTTATTCGAGATAAATTAATAGCTGAAGATATTACGACTCTATTTGTAAGGTCTAAGGATTAACTTGCAGACATGTTTATCAAAACATTGAGTGGTACTAGTCTTATAGCTATTTGTTTCAAACTTGAATTATATGATATATATAGTTTGCCTTGAAGGGGAGTGTTAAAATTATTAGGGTATTATGTAAATACCACTAGAGGGTATACATGTTTTTTATATGATTATAGGTTAAATATAAATACAAATAATTTGTGAGAAATAGATTAAATTTTTAACAACTATCTGTTTCTCAATTATTATGTTATCTTATCTCTATTTACTTAACATACTCAAACAAACATGTCCGCCACTTAATATAAGAGTAATATTACATGAACTTAAAAAATAGATTTAAAAATTAGACTTGATAATTTCAATCATTGATTTTATTATGAATCTTAACATTTATTGAGACCCACTACCAATTCGATGATTAAAATTATTAAGTCTAATTTTTAAATTCATCAACAATTACTCAGCGATATAAATATCTAGGTAGTTGTACGAGTACACATACCAGCAGAGAGACATGGCCATCAAACTGGATGTAGAGAGAGGTGAGGTCAGNCTATTTGTTTCAAACTTGAATTATATGATATATATAGTTTGCCTTGAAGGGGAGTGTTAAAATTATTAGGGTATTATGTAAATACCACTAGAGGGTATACATGTTTTTTATATGATTATAGGTTAAATATAAATACAAATAATTTGTGAGAAATAGATTAAATTTTTAACAACTATCTGTTTCTCAATTATTATGTTATCTTATCTCTATTTACTTAACATACTCAAACAAACATGTCCGCCACTTAATATAAGAGTAATATTACATGAACTTAAAAAATAGATTTAAAAATTAGACTTGATAATTTCAATCATTGATTTTATTATGAATCTTAATATTTATTAAGACCCACTACCTATTCGATGATTAAAATTATTAAATCTAATTTTTAAATTCATCAACAATTACTCAGCGATATAAATATCTAGGTAGTTCTACAAGTTCACATACCAGCAGAGAGACATGGCCATCAAACTGGATGTAGAGAGAGGTGAGGTCAGTGTGCAAGAAGAGATAAGAGCACCACTCATACCAGAAGAGAAGACACAAGCTGACAAAGTAGATGCCGAGCCTGATGCTGAAGATCAGACCCAAAAAAGCAGCAAAGAGGATCAATGGATGGTCTACCTCACCACGTTCGTTGCAGTTTGTGGTTCGTTTGCATTTGGATCCTGTGTAAGTGCCGAGAATTAATTTAACTTTCAACTCAACCTTTTCTTTGTGGGTGGGGATGGGAATTCATCTTCACTGAAGGTGAAAGCTATGCCCAAAGACTTCTGATAGGGAAAGCCATGAAAAGATACCACCAACTTCTTGCAAGCAAATAATTGGTTGTTTGTCTTTCACTTTTCAGGCCGGTTATTCATCACCTGCTCAGTCCGCCGTCAGGGAAGATCTAAATCTATCTATAGCAGAGGTTAGTCAAAAATATTCGGATTCCTGTGTTATAAGGCATCATGATTCCCACGCCAATAACTCGATTCCCAATTACCCACACTCAGCACCGACAATTAGGAACTTCTGACTTCTGTATATAGACAGAACTTCCTAGATTATCTGTGCAAGAGGGAAATCAGAAACCTAAAGATAATCACAAATCTGGAAAAGAATTTGAGGCATGACCAGAGGGAAAATAACCAAATCAATTCTNCCCACACTCAGCACCGACAATTAGGAACTTCTGACTTCTGTATATATACAGAACTTCCTAGATTATCTGTGCAAGAGGGAAATCAGAAACCTAAAGATAATCACAAATCTGGAAAAGAATTTGAGGCATGACCAGAGGGAAAATAACCAAATCAATTCTGAGTGACACAAGAGGAACACATGCCAAAACATACTGAATTTTACACGAATGATTACAGAACATACTGACGTTACTTGCCAAAACATACTAGATGGAACAGGAAAAAAAAATCAATGCAAATCAAGTTTCCCAAATCTTAACATTTAGACTGTTCTGTTGAACTCTCCTAATGCATTTTTCTTGCAGTATTCATTATTTGGATCNATCTAAACACATGCCAAAACATACTAGATGGAACAGGAAAAAAAAATCAATGCAAATCAAGTTTCCCAAATCTTAACATTTAGACTGTTCTGTTGAACTCTCCTAATGCATTTTTCTTGCAGTATTCATTATTTGGATCAATATTGACATTTGGTGCAATGATTGGTGCAATCACAAGCGGGCCTATAGCTGATTATGTTGGTCGCAAAGGGGTAAGCTGGAGAGGACTCCAATAAATCTACTGATACTGACCGTTACCATATCTATGACTTTCTGGTTCTTTCTATCCTATGGGCATGTTCCATTAAAGGTGATATCAATGTATGCAGGCACTGAGCATGTCAAGCGGTTTCTGTGCAGCGGGGTGGCTGGCAATTTATTTTGCCAAGGTTTGTGTAGTCTTACTCTTTAAATTCATTTCCACTTAATAGTCACGTGCAAGAAAAAATGTTTGCAACAAAGTGAAAAATGATACATTCGATTGATAATTACCATAGGGAGCTCTGGTTCTGGACATTGGAAGACTTGCCACAGGATATGGAATGGGAGTATTTTCCTACGTGGTACATTTTTCTCTCTCTGTCTGACAATTCACTCCCTCCTATGATTCATACACTAGCAAGGATGTTCACATTGAATTTACTTTAAAAGCCTGACATAAATATTTTACCGATGATCAGGTACCTGTGTTCATAGCTGAAATTGCGCCAAAAAATTTACGAGGAGCTTTGACAACCATAAATCAGGTAAACACATTTGCATTATTTTGATCAGTATAGGTAATGGATAAGAAGATTTCAGGAGACCTCGGTTTTCTTGTGGAAGTTAAAGCAAATACATAATTTCTATAGTCTGGAGACAATGCCTTCAATGTTTCTACCTACTGTACAGCTCATGATTTGTACTGGAGTATCTGTTGCCTTCATAATAGGAACTGTGCTAACATGGCGGGCTTTAGCATTAACAGGTGAACGTTTGACATTCTCTTGAAAAACATTCAGTTTTCTTTAATAGTATTGCTACAGGAATGTTAATATACAAGCATAGGAGTAGGGCCATAAAATGAGTAGTACCTTAATAAGGATCTGACTCACTTTTCAATTGCTTGCAGGACTGATCCCATGTGTTGTTCTACTTTTGGGTCTGTTTATTATTCCAGAATCCCCCAGATGGCTGGTAAGATATGCAAAGCAGCAAAAAAAATTCTTTTATACTTTTATACCAACACTTTAAAGGAAGGGATGCATAAAAAATGCTCTAAACATATATGCAGGCAAAGATAGGAAAACAAAAAGAGTTTGAAGCTGCACTAAAGAGACTCCGTGGCAAGGATGCTGATATATCTGATGAAGCAGCTGAAATCCAAGTTCATACTTCTAAACTTTGAGCTCCACTCTTCATTACCAGTGTTTTAGAGCATTTTGAGGATGGCATATAATAATGTCATTGCTTAACAGGATTATATAGAAACTCTCCAACAGCTCCCCAAAGCCAGACTACTGGATTTATTTCAAAGAAGATATTTGCGCTCAGTCATCGTAAATATTTCTTTTCCTCAAACCTATTGGATAACTATTGTGCTTTGGTGTTTAGCTGATGCATTCAGAGGAATACTTATACTATTAAATCTAATTCTTAGCCCCAAAATTTTTTCCATTGCTAGTCTAGCTTTAATCATTGATTACTTCCGCTGACCAGATAGGAGTTGGACTTATGGTCTTTCAACAATTTGGAGGAATCAATGGAATCTGTTTCTACACCAGCAGTATTTTTGAGTCAGCAGGTACATAGTCTCAACGGGAAAAAAAGATACAAGTGGCCTGGTACAAGCCCCTTGACAACAAAAAAAAGGAAGAAAGAAAACATTAGAATTCAGGATCTTTTCTCCATTTTGCACCTGATTATATATATATATATATACATAACTAGAATCAACTACATTTGATAGTTTGGGCATCATATTTAGATAGCAAACTACATTACTAACTTCAAAGAAAGTTAATTTATCTACTTTCTGTGAATTTCCAGGATTTCCTTCTGATGTTGGAACTATAATCTATGCAATTCTTCAGGTTATTAACTCTCAGTTTGTCAATTCTTTAAGACTCTAGAATCTCTTTTTACCAGCAGTTGGTTGGAAAGGGTTTTATTTCATTTCTCCTTTTTGCAGGTTGTAATTACTGCACTAGGTGCAACCTTAATAGACAGGGCTGGAAGAAAACCTCTTCTTTTGGTAAGTCCTAGCGCAGAACACTACGAGCTCCAAGATATATTATCACAATTCCTCAATTTAAGGTTAAATTTTCTGTTCTAGGTTTCTGCAGCAGGATTGGTCCTTGGTTGCATGCTGGCAGGGATTTCATTTTATCTGAAGGTAAGTAAATATCAAATTACTAATCCTCAAAATAATGTGTTTATAGTTTTTTATTTTTTGTCACAAATGCTTTAAGCTGGAAACATTATCTTTTGGACCAGGCTCATGGAATAGCACTCAATGCAGCACCCGCACTTACTGTAACCGGCATACTGGTAGTATAAACATTTGAAATCTATGTGACAGAACTATCCACTGATCTATATTGTTCCAAAAGACTTGGAACTCTTTCACCTATAATCTTCAATAATTGTTTCCATCTCAGGTGTACATAGGATCCTTTTCAATAGGAATGGGAGCAGTTCCATGGGTTGTAATGTCTGAGGTAGGTGAAATCTCCAGCCCCCATCTAATCCGTTAGTGGCACCATCTGAGCATTTTCTTTTGTTGTAGATATTTCCTATCAACGTTAAAGGAGTTGCTGGAAGCCTAGCAACACTAGTGAACTGGTTTGGTGCATGGGCATGTTCCTACACTTTCAATTTTCTCATGAGCTGGAACTCTTATGGTAAATAAATGCAGCTACTACTCTTTTTAGTCTACCTGAAGGCGCAACAACTTGTTCGTCAGTGCTTCACAAGGGCTCAATGAATTCTAAACAAAACATAACTAGGAAAGCAGATGTCCCGTTTACGACATTCTGGGAAAAATGGGTACCTTAGGCAGAACTGTCAACTTAAATGGCAGATAGAAAAACCAGTCAAAAAAGAAAAAGAGCAGAAACTCAATACTTTCCATTGTTACCACCGTACTAATGCGCATATACTTGTTTATGTGGTTTCAGGTACCTTCATTCTTTATGCTGCAGTCAATGGACTTGCTATTTTGTTCGTGACCCAGGTGGTACCTGAAACAAAAGGGAGAACTTTGGAACAAATACAGGCTGCGATTAATGTTTGATAAAGAACGTTAAGGCCATTGATGCGAGAATGTTTGTGATCCCATTATCTGAAGCGATTTAATGTCTGCAAAAATCAGTCAAGTCAAAATTGTTTGTTGATTCCATTATTTTAATTTATGTGAAGTGACAAAATTTACTTCAGTTGCATGAATCCCACACTACTAACCGCAGGAAAAAAATGCCGACACACACAAGCTGTCCATTTGATCCAGTTGTCCAAAAGATTTTTCAGTCGTCACCAAGAAATCTACATCATCCAACAAGTTATCATTTTGCATTTTACATGCTTCGAAAGGGATATTCTTAGTTGACTGTCCCACATCTCTTCTAGCCATGTCATAACTAAAAATTATGTTTTCAACCTTTTCTTTGAAAAGCATACAGCAGTCCCATACATACAAATATGCTGACATACCACTATGTGAGCAATACTGCAAGATAACCCAGATATATTGGTGCAGCCTATTTTCTTATACTTTCTTTTCATAAGCATAGATCAATTTTTAGTGCAGCATAGAATACAAAAAGTTATTACTACAATCTGTTACAGAAAATTTCTATTTCCCACTTAGAGCCTTAAATAGATTAAGCATCATAAGTTGCTACTAATAAAAATTTATCAGTGTCCAACACATACTACTCAATAAATGCAACTTCTATAAAAAAAATGATGTTTTACCTTCTAACAAAATGAGTTGTAGTACTCCTACTAGATTGAGTGTTTCCTTCCATTTTGTTCCTGCCCCCTTGCTTTGAATTGTGTTTTTTGTAAGCCATTCTTGGCCTTGTATATTTTGAAAAACTAATACAATTTTACTTACTTAAAAAAAAAAAAAAACTTCTGAAGAAGGACCTCTCATGCTACATGCAGCTTTATGCTGTGTGTTCAGGGACCACGGAATGCACAGTTCAGTCTGTATGCTTTGTATGGCTTCGATTATCAACTGCACATGATGATCTGAATGCAGAGGATCCAAACAACTCTTTGATACAGAACTTAACCAAATGTTTTTCTTTTTAATTAAGGGAGGCCTACTTACTGCTGAATTGTATAAAGTTTGCAGGCTTCACGCAAGTCACTCTTGCTAATACTAAGATCATAACATGTAATTGTATAGTAATCTATAGGCATTTTTTCTTCTTTTTTTGGACTGTTGCTAACAATGTCCTATATATGCCTCGGTTTTGTGGGATAAANAACTCAATCTGTAGTAGTACTACTAACAAAGAGTACTCCTACTAGATTGAGTGTTTCCTTCCATTTTGTTACTGCACCCTTGCTTTGAATTGTGTTTTTTGTAAGCCATTCTTGGCCTCGTATATTTTGAAAAACTAATACAATTTTACTTACTTTAAAAAAAAAAAAACTTCTGAAGAAGGACCTCTCATGCTACATGCAGCTTTATGCTGTGTGTTCAGGGACCACGGAATGCACAGTTCAGTCTGTATGCTTTGTATGGCTTCGATTATCAACTGCACATGATGATCTGAATGCAGAGGATCCAAACAACTCTTTGATACAGAACTTAACCAAATGTTTTTCTTTTTAATTAAGGGAGGCCTACTTACTGCTGAATTGTATAAAGTTTGCAGGCTTCACGCAAGTCACTCTTGCTAATACTAAGATCATAACATGTAATTGTATAGTAATCTATAGGCATTTTTTCCCCTTTTTTTGGACTGTTGCTAACAATGTCCTATATATGCCTCGGTTTTGTGGGATAAATTATAAATCAAATTGTGTAACAGGATTACCTTACCTAATACAGGGTCCATAAAAAAATAATAATAATAATACATGGTCCATGGGTAAAATCATATGGAAAAATGAGTTTAAGTTANGTACTCCTACTAGATTGAGTGTTTCCTTCCATTTTGTTCCTGCCCCCTTGCTTTGAATTGTGTTTTTTGTAAGCCATTCTTGGCCTTGTATATTTTGAAAAACTAATACAATTTTACTTACTTAAAAAAAAAAAAAAACTTCTGAAGAAGGACCTCTCATGCTACATGCAGCTTTATGCTGTGTGTTCAGGGACCACGGAATGCACAGTTCAGTCTGTATGCTTTGTATGGCTTCGATTATCAACTGCACATGATGATCTGAATGCAGAGGATCCAAACAACTCTTTGATACAGAACTTAACCAAATGTTTTTCTTTTTAATTAAGGGAGGCCTACTTACTGCTGAATTGTATAAAGTTTGCAGGCTTCACGCAAGTCACTCTTGCTAATACTAAGATCATAACATGTAATTGTATAGTAATCTATAGGCATTTTTTCTTCTTTTTTTGGACTGTTGCTAACAATGTCCTATATATGCCTCGGTTTTGTGGGATAAATTATAAATCAAATTGTGTAACAATTTCCCATGTTCAAAAAACTAAATTACCTAGGATTACCTTACCTAATACAGGGTCCATAAAAAAATAATAATAATACATGGTCCATGGGTAAAATCATATGGAAAAATGAGTTTAAGTTAGGATCAATGGTTAAGTGATTTGTCACACAAATGATATCAAATTTTTGACCGTCCATTGTAGTTTGCACATATCACAATCCTCAAGATGTATTACTTTGATGTACTGATATAAAAGAAAAGGAACAATTAATATGCCAGGAAACTTATTTACTCAACGTAAAACAGATGGATCAAATGCACCCAAAACCAAAGGGCTTCTAATTTATACACCTCCACTGCATTTTTCTATTTCAGTTGAAAAAAGGGAAAGGACTGCAAACCAAGAGCAGAATATTTGAGAGAGAAACTTTTGAGTCTTGAGGTAAGGTTTCTCCTATAAAAAAGATAAAAAGTTGAGGTTCTTACGCCATCATCATAAGAGTAATATTCAACAGAAAATCTTACCTAACTTTAAGTCTGGGAACACCTAAAACTAAAAGGTTCATTTGGCACCCGAGTATCATTAATGAAGGCAATTGCATTCCAATTTGTGCCCCGGGTTTACCGACTGGGGTGCCACGGGGGAGGAGATGCATTGGTTTTCCGAAATTGAATTACTGGCAAGCAAGCATATCAACAACCAAAACCCAATCAGAAGTCCAGAATTACCATTCCAACTTGAAATTTCTCCAAGAATTACAGAGAATAAATTGAAAAGGTTCATACCTTCATCAGACACTTTGATTTCTTGACCAGAAGGAATCAAAAAATATAAGATCTGAAATTTTGAGAGTCTAATCCAATTTTGGTGGCTTCTATTCTTAGCCATCCAAAGAATTTAAGCATACAGTCACAACAGCAAATGCTTCCATGAAATCAGCAATTTTGTGATTTCTTATGATTTTGGGAGGTTTGTATTGACTTGCTGGTGCCCCATTTTTTATGGCTTCTTGTAATAACCTATCAAAGCTACCAGGTTTCACAATAGATACTAACAAAGGGCCAATTTCTCCTCCTGCCTTCATCACCTTATATATACCTCCTAACCTGTCCTCAAGGGAGGAGCAACACCTTTTAAGAATTATAAGTGACTCCTGCAAGTTGTCTTTCTGCAGTAGCATACATCCTTCTTTAACTTCTATAAAAATCATCAATTGCTTTGGGTCCAACTCCAAGTCCAAGAAACTTGCAAACTCAGTAATCTCTGCAGCGATCACATCTTTTAGCACAAGCTGAAAACTGGCCATAGCAGACACCAGGTCTCTTTCAGTTAATATCTCTCTAGATGTTTTGGGGGCTCTCATCACAAACTCAAGCTGTGGGGATGAATTATAAAAGCCAGTCACTTTAACAATATCACCCAAACGGTATCGGTACAATCCTCTATAAGTAGTCACAACCATTTCGTACATCTTCCCCACCGCAACACCAGAAAGATCCACTGTTTCTTCATCAATGAGACAGTTGTTGGTCAAATCATATGGAAGAAACTCAAAATAGGCCGCAGATGGAAGCATAACAAAGCGGGTCAGCTCTGGAGGTTGCATAATATCCAAGTTAATACCCACACAGCATTCTGAGGCATAGTAGTCTCCACCTAACAGTGGTATCTCTCCTGCATAGTACTTCAGTTTTGGATAGTATTGCTCCATGCTTCCAGTACTAACACACTTAACATAGCGAACATTTGGCCATAGTTTACCTAAAATCCCTCCCCAATCCCTTTTTTCACAAATTGATCGAATCCTCTTCAACAGCTCCGGTTGTGATCCGCTAAGAACCTCAATAACAGAATCTCTCATAGCAACATCAATAATCTCTACACTTGGAAACCCATTCTCAAGATCCTCACATAGCTGCTCCCACTTAATTTCTAGGAGGCTGAATGCTCTAATTAAGCCACTAGCATATGGAGCTTGAATCCCATCCACTATATTGGAATGCCTAAGGCCACAAAGGAGGTGGCAATACATTTGCTGCTGAACATCTGATCCAAGAATGACTTCTTTAGGACTTACAACTATGGAGAGCAATCGGAATGGGTTCGAGTTTTTGTTGTGCATAGAAAACGCAGAGGCAGCCATTGCTTGATACCCACCTTTCGTATTTGTAACATTACCAGCATAAAAGAACAATAAATTCTTATGCACTGATGGTCTCGGAGGAAAGAGCCTATGTAAAATTCGAGACGCCCCNGGCAGCCATTGCTTGATACCCACCTTTCGTATTTGTAACATTACCAGCATAAAAGAACAACAGATTCTTATGCACTGATGGTCTCGGAGGAAAGAGCCTATGTAAAATTCGAGACGCCCCTTAGAATAACACATTTTGAATAACCCAATGTTTAGCAGAAAATATATCAAATAAAGAGGGTGTGGGTGTGGGGAGAAGTAATAAGTTATACCTTCGAAGCATTGCGGCGCTACCCTGGTGAGCTAGATAAGAGACAGCTTTTGATGGCGTTGAATCGAAATAAGGAATCAATTTCGGGTTCGCCGAACTTGTCCCGGAACTGCAAGACACATNGAGAAGTAATAAGTTATACCTTCGAAGCATTGCGGCGCTACCCTGGTGAGCTAAATAAGAGACAGCTTTTGATGGCGTTGAATCGAAATAAGGAATCAATTTCGGGTTCGCCGAACTTGTCCCGGAACTGCAAGACACATTAAGATCCAAAGTTCAATCTATGCTCTTTTTTTTTTTGGGCTCGTGAAAAAAAGGTGTGGAAAAGAGAGCAGTTTAATATATTCCAAATTTGTAACTTAAATTTGTATCCTAAATCAAGAAAGATCATTAAATCAGTGAGTTCCATCAATTTTTTAAATAGGATCAATGATCCTCTTTGATTTGAATTACAAATTTGAAAAACATATCATTACTCTTATTCTTTTCGGAATGAACTTAACTAGGTTAGCGGTCAATTAACAAGTTTCGATGAAAAAAATTCGGACCGTATGTCACTCGACCACCCCCACTCGGTGGCAGTTCAATCTATGCTTTGCAGATTCAATGAAAAAAAAAGGAAAGGTATAGGACAGATGATATCTTATTTTCACCCCCCTTTAATTTTCGCAAACTGGATTGCGAAATATTAAAAAGAAAATGAACTTCTCTCTTTTTTTTAATCTTTTCCTCACAATGCACATCCTATCGAAGAAGGGGGTAACTTTTTTCCTTTGGATCTTCTTTTTTCACGGTAGACAACCCCCCTGGGGGCGGGGGCCATTGTGAAAATGACACATTGAATCAAAGATCCGTATTTTTCCTTGCCAAAAGAAAATGATATTTTCAGATATTCTTTTATTTTCCCTAGCCTAATTAATAAGAATTCAAAACTCTCCCTTCTTTTCTTCAGTTTTCCTGCNAGTAGACACCCCCCTGGGGGCGGGGGCCATTGTGAATAGAAACGTTGAATCAAAGATCCGTATTTTTCCTTGCCAAAAGAAAATGATATTTTCAGATAGTCTTTTATTTTCCCTAGCCTAATTAATAAGAATTCAAAACTCTCCCTTCTTTTCTTCAGTTTTCCTGCATCTCCGTCTTGATTTCTGCCATTTCCTCTTATACCCAAAAACTAATTTCATTTGCATCCTCAAAAAATGTTTCTATTCTCAATTTACACAATCAAACATTAAAAATCCCTCAATATTATGAATTAATAACAACATGGACCTCACCCAGATTATCAAGTTTTTTTGTTGAAAATAGAAGTACACGAATTTAAGTGTTTCAAGCATGAGCTTATGCATTATGCATAAATTCACATTCTATTGACATCTCATGTGAATTGCACGTGATAGGTTAGTCTATTTGATTAATGAAATCTCATTTTTGATACACATAATGGTGTCAAATTGATCATAGACGACAGTAGTGGATATATCTCACATTTATGCTCGAAGCACTTGCACCACCTCACGTGCTNAATGCGAATTGCACGTGATAGGTTAGTCTATTTAATTAATGAAATCTCATTTTTGATACACATAATGGTGTCAAATTGATCATAGATAAAGATCTACAGTAGTGGATATATCTCACATTTATGCTCGAAGCACTTGCACCACCTCACGTGCTTCAATTTATAAGAATATAAATTTAAAATATTGATGGTACAAATTAAAATTTTTAATGTTTTAAAGTATAAATTAAGAATTAAAATATTTTTGAGGGTGTAAAGTGAGATTTTACCTAAACCAAAAGCTCGAAGAACTTGTACTGTTACCTTGGATCTCAAATAGTTTGTTGCCTGTATACAAATCTTAGTATTTCCTTACCAAGATTTTGAATAACTCAATACTTGAACTTAAAGATACTACAAGACTGTAAATATTAGATTAACAAGTGGAGATTGGTAATGATACCTGTAGAAGAAACAAACCAGAGGATCAACCGACAAGAGTGGCTGATCATCATCGTCGTCGGCCATTTGATGGATATGATCGGCGTAGTCTTCGTAACTGGACAATGGCACTGAGCGCCGGAAAGTTGCAGCGTCGATTGGCGCAGGGTAGCCCTGGAGGTAGGGCCGAAGATAAGCTACACCGGCGTTGTGTTCAAGGATGGTCTGGAGGGCCTCGAGCTGGTGCCGCCCGGCGTCCATGGTGGTGTCCTCGATATTGTTAATGATCTCATCATCTGTCATCATTTCCGGACTTTGACGGAATTGGACCAATTCGAAACCGTTGAACGTTGGTAGCGGCGGTGTTTGGTACTTGCGTGCAAGTTAGTCGACTCTGCTTGACGTTGCCGGGAAGGTCGTGTGTGCAGACAATTTTGGACCGAAATAGTTCAAATAGCAGAAGAAGGTCAAACAAGAGAATATGTTAAAAGTCTGATATGCCCACGTTGACGGGACCGTAGTGGAGGGTATAGTTGTCAATGTAGAAGTGTTTCCGTCGATCTGTCCACGCTGTCTGATTTTGCGCATACGCGGATTCCAGTTCTTTTCCTTACCAAAAAAACAAATTTGGGAGAATTACACCAAATTTATTGAAGATCGTAACTTAATTACTTAGAGCTCTTAATATTTTAAATATTACGCACAAATTTTTTAAAGTTTATAAACATTTAATACTTAGATCACTATTGTAAATATATTCATTAATAAATTACATTCAAACTCCTTCAAATTTATAAACATATATTACTTAGACTCTTAAGTTTAAAATGTTATACTTAAATCAAAAATACTTCAATTAAAGATAAAATATCAAATATTTTAAATTTTACAATTAAAATTCATGTTCTATTGTATCTTTTATTGAATTAAAATCAAAAATAAAAATTCAATTTTTTCTTAAAAAATCATAATTAATATATAATTATATTATTTATTGAAATTTAATTTAGTTGTTTAAACGATTAAATTAAAATACCAAACTATCTTAATTAAATCTAAAAAATATTGTGTTCATTACAGTTTAACAAATTATTTAATATTTTTAATTTTATTCTAATATATAGTATAATTATATACTAACTATGATTTTTTTAAAAAAAATAGATTTTTATTTTTGATTTTATTTTAATAAATGACATAATATAATATGAAATTTGAATATAAAATTTATATTCTATTATGAATGACTTAGACCTCTTATTTAATTTTTTTTATTTTATTTTAATAGATAGTGATAAGAACGAAATTTAAGGCATGGGCCTTTATGATCCACGAGCCCAATGAGTCCAGAAGTCCTCCAATTACACAACAACCCAAAAGGGGAGGCCTATAATTTGCCCACCTCATTGGCCCAAAAGGCCAAGCTCAAGGGAAAAAAACCCGATATCAGCAGGAGGTTTATAATCTAATGCAACTCTAGTCCAACCCAGCTAGTGAATGCCCAAAGGATGAAAGACTAGCCCAAATGCTCTCCCCGAATTACTCTCATTGTACAATGTATCCTAGAGACTCAGGGATTACCCCTGACACCTTCGACAGTCGCAGAGTAGAAAAAGGATGGAACACGTAATCACCAGAAATCGTGGTAACAGTAGCGACAGATGAACAGTGGCACCGAATATCAAAGAGAGCTACAAGGTGCAGAGGGGAGGACCCACGAGACCAGCACCAAAAGAGGAGAAGCAACAACAATCTCTAAGAGAATCATTGTATAAATAAAGAACTGTTAATCAACGGAGGGGGGCCTCTCCTTCCCGACTCACTCTCAAAACCAAATACCTAGCAGCAAAAAATATAGTGCACTCACCCCTTGTAAAGAACCCAATGTTATTATCACCTCTATATTCACCAAGGATTAAGCAATATACGATCTCGATAAGCAAGAGACTCCCTTGATAGTGGACGTAGTCTTAATCCTTCGGTTAAGGTGAACTACTTACACCTTTTTCTTCAGTTGTTTTCTATTAACCGGCCATTCATTTAACTGATCCATTAACAACCTCACAATCTCATCTATTGGGGCTTGAGCTGAAATTTTCAAGCACCATCACATAGTATAATTGTATACTAATTACAATTTTTTTAAAAAAATTATATTTTTATTTTTATTTTATTTTAATAAATGACATAATAGAATATAAATTTTAATTGTAAAATTTAAAATATTTGATATTTTATCTTTGATTTGAGTATTTTTTGTCTAAGTATAATATTTTAAACTTCAGAGGTTTAAATATTATATATTTACAAATTTTAAGAGGGTTTAAGTATAATTTATTAACGAATATATTTGCAACATGGGTTTAAGCGTTATACGCATGCAAATCTCAAGGGGTTTGTGTATAATACTTTAAATATCAAGAGGTCTGAGTGATTAAATGACAAACTTCAAAAAATTTAGATATAATTCTTTTGTAAGAACCTAAAAATTCGAAGCTGCAAAATTTCACACGTGACTGCCACATGCTAGAGGAGAACTGGCAAAAGTATGAAGTGACACGTTACAATCGAAAGAAAATATTTACGGTTGAAATCATTTTAAATTTTATTTTAAAGTTAATTCGATAATAGATATTAATTCTTCAAATTTAATAGAAAAAATAAGTCTTTAATTGAAATAATTTTTCAAAAGTGCTTATAAGACTTATGATTTTTCATAAACACTTAAAAAAAGGGTTAATCGCAAATTATACCCCAAAAGATCTTTCAAATCTCAACTTGTACTCTCAAAAAAAAAAATCTCAATTTGTATCCTCAAAAATATAAATTTGTATCAATACACACCTAAAGCTAACAGTTGTCGGTTTACAACTTAAAATTAGTTGGGTAAGTTACATCTGAACCCCCCTCACATTTAGACTACACCTTTTGACATCTGTTAATATAACAGTTAAAAAATATGATTTCATCCAAATAAAAATTTATAATTTTTATACTACTTTTTATTTTGTAAGCTCGTTATACTCTAAAGTTCAAAGTCAAACTTACAATTTGAATGTTCGATATAATGCAGATATTTATACAATATTCTTTATATTCAATGTAATACATCACTTGAATATAATTATTTGGATGCTCAATTGAAAAAATATTTTTAGTTATATTTGGATTCTAAAGGAATGTAGATGTAATATTTCAAATATGAAGGGTGTAGGTAATTAAGTAATAAATATGAGGAGATTTAAGTGTTATTTATCTATTTAGTTTAAGACAACAAACTATCTGTTATTAGCTTCAAGTGTGTATTGATATAAATTTATATCTTTGAGAGTGCAAATTGAGATTTTTTATCTTTAAGAATACAAATTGAAGTTCGAACGATCTTTTGGGGTGCAATTTGTGATAAACCAAAAAAAAAAAAAGTAATGTTTGGAATAACTTATTTTAATTACATCCAAGTTAAAAATAGTTTTAGCACTTAAATAAGTAATTAAATGAAAGTAAAAAAAAAAATTATTTCTTTAAAATCGCTTATCTACAAAATACTTCACCACCACTGCTACCCCACCACCACCAAACGCATTGCCCCACCACCATTACCTCTGCCACAACCACCATCGTCATCCACCACCGATTACTATTATCGCCGTCTATTGTCACTATCATCATCTCATTTCTTATATTTATTACCACTATCGCCATTATCTTTCCACTACCGTCGCTCACTGTCACCACCAACCACCACCATCGTTGCCCACCACCACCCATTACCATAACCCATCACTACCTATCGTCGTTAGTCAATGCCGCCACCCATTGTTACCAACTACCACCACTTGTCATTGCTCATTACCACCGTCACCCACGGTCACTTGCCTCCACCACCATTATTGTCATTTACCACCATCAACCACTATCATCATCCACAAGAAACGGTTGCCCATCACAACCATCGTCACTACTCACTATTATTATCAACCACTATCATCATCGTCCATCACTACCCGCACCTACCACCATTATCGCCATCACTCATAGCTGTAATTACCACTATCATCAGCCAAAACCTATTACCACCATCTCTGTTGCCACTCACTGTTGGCATCACCACTACAATCGTCACCGCCCACACAACCATCATTGTCTCCCACCACCACCACTATCTTCCATTGTCACTGCCATCGCTCACCCCACTACAACCAATACTTAAATTTTTTTCTCTCTATTTTATGTTTGTAATTTAATTTTGAATATTATTATAAATATATTTATGATTAACAATTTTTTTAGTATGTCGTTCTTTTAAAGATGAACAATAACTAATTTAATAATAAGGATAATTTAATGACTTTCTTAAAAGTTGTTTACTAAGAAATCAGTGTCAAGAATCGAATTTTATCTGCCAAGGGTTGGGGCTTTGCTCTTTTGCTAGTAATTATCTTTTTAAAACAAAACAGTAAAAATTTCATTAATTTGAAATGTCAATGATGAGTCGAGGTATTACAAAATCTAATGTCTGCTCCTTTTGTACAATCAAATCATTAACAAATTCAATATGTCTAGCCAACTGATACAATACTAATTTATCAATATACCACAAGTATATCTGGTAGTGCCAAACAATCAGTTATGACACTTTGAATATATTTTTACTGTTTTTATACTTTGATCGAAAAAGAACCATATAATCTTATTTTGTAGGTTATATTTTTATGAGTAATGTTATTAGAATTTAATTTATTATGATATTTGAATTAAAAGTGAATTCTATCAATTATTAGAATGATTTAGTGTTGATTTAATAATTTTATTAAAATAACATTAATAAATTAAATTAACAATTTAAATTTAAATACCAAAAATTACACATCAAATGATGTAACAACTTATATGAAGTAGACCAAATTTGACGAAATTTAAGTTACACGAGACAATGTAGGTTACTAGCACGTCAGTAATGCCGCCACCGTCAAAGTGTAATTATCAAAACACTCCATCTGATTAGACACCTAATAAAGGCATCACCTTGGTCGGAAGGTCATTTCATGGCATAAAAAGAAAGATAAAAAAGAAACAAGTTAGCCATGCAAGCACGATCGCAATGGCAATCGTGCCTCCTAATAATTATGCTCCGATACCTACTCGACGTGGCCATCGACGGCGAGGAGACTCCTTTCTGACCCAGATTGTGTGACTTCGTCTACCCTTTTGCCATAGCAGTGCGTCACGTCTCGGAATGCCATTCTTGAGCAGCAGAGACTAATTAATTGTTCAAAAAGAGCGATGATGTGACACCTGGTCTATCTTAACTATATATATATATATAATAATGAACACAGACACTTGTCTGAATGCGTCGTGCCACTGATTTTAAAACATCACACCAGTCAGTCACCAAATGTTGACAAAGGAGCAAATTTTATTTTTATATTTTATATTCACATATCGTAAATGATCTCAAAAAATTATATCTTTTTGTTGATCCATCTTAATTTATTTGTTATAATTTTTCTCAGAAATATTATATTTTTCAAAAGAATATTTTTCTTGTATTGTTATTCTATAAACAAAATTGGTTTCCTTCTGTATACTTTTTTTTTTTTTTTGGTTACTTGCATGTACTTTGTAGTTTTAATTATGCAATGAACCCTCAACCCTCCTGTATAAGAAAGAGATCAAGACCTCGTATGGCCGGCCTCCTTTTCATCCCAATTGCTACCTCCAAGCAATGTGAGCCTGGAATTATATTTATCAATACCTATTATTATTAATGCATTGTGATACAGCATAAAATGAAAAGGGAAGAAAAACAGTTTCAAACATTCAGAACTTAAAAAAAAAAAAAAAGAACAAGTTATCTTCTTTCTTGAACCATTGTCAATACCGATTTAAGCAAATTCACAGGAGGAGGAGGAGGAGGAGACAACAATTGCCAGTATAAAACAATGGAGATACTGCAGATTTTAAATACTCATAACCAAATTCATTCCACTGTATGCATGGAATTTCATTACCAATACAACACTGACAAAAATGAAAATGAAAATAAAAATAAAAATACAACCCAAGAAATAGTCCTCCATAGTCCTACTAAAAATTTGCTGTAAACCAGCTTCTTCCTTCTCCAGGCTTCATATTCGGGAGAGTATGTTCAATCCTTCCTCCTTCTAAGTAGAACACACCACATTCATGAGACGGCCAACAATGCCCTTTAATACTAGGAAAATGGTATGAGGCAAAATAAATGAAATTCCCATGAATCCCATCACTATCTCTGGCGGAAAAAGACACATCATTGTCGTTCAAAAATAATACTTTATGATCAGCTAAGTTATTTAACCTATCACAATTTCCANGAACAAGTTATCTTCTTTCTTGAACCATTGTCAATACCGATTTAAGCAAATTCACAGGAGGAGGAGGAGGAGGAGGAGACAACAATTGCCAGTGTAAAACAATGGAGATACTGCAGATTTTAAATACTCATAACCAAATTCATTCCACTGTATATGCATGGAATTTCATTACCAATACAACACTGACAAAAATGAAAATAAAAATAAAAATACAACCCAAGAAATAGTCCTACTAAAAATTTGCTGTAAACCAGCTTCTTCCTTCTCCAGGCTTCATATTCGGGAGAGTATGTTCAATCCTTCCTCCTTCTAAGTAGAACACACCACATTCATGAGACGGCCAACAATGCCCTTTAATACTAGGAAAATGGTATGAGGCAAAATAAATGAAATTCCCATGAATCCCATCACTATCTCTGGCGGAAAAAGACACATCATTGTCGTCCAAAAATAATACTTTATGATCAGCTAAGTTATTTAACCTATCACAATTTCCATTGTTAGGATTGATCTTGAATATTTCAAATCCCGTTGTGTGCCAATATCTAGAAAGACGATAATCATAATCAATATCTTCATCCTTCAATGCAAACATATCAAAGCCACATCCAATAATCAATAATTCACTGCCCGTCGACTCTGCTAATTAAAAACGTTTAACTTTGTTCTTCAAAATCTTGAAGTAATTAAACTCAATAGCATCGGGTACCAAGTGATGATAATCATTACAAGGGAATGAGATCAATCTCAACATCTCTTCGCTGATAATTAACAAATAGAGTGTATTATTACGAAATATTATGTCTCCTAAAATCCCTTTCTTGAAAGATATTCCAACTTTTGTCATCTGGTCGACAGAGACCTAATACCTCGTCGTCGCCTAAAATTGCTGCAACTATACATTCAGCAGCATCAGCAGAAGATACCATGACACTCTTAACGAAATATGTGATGGCGAGTTCCCGATCCACAAAAGATGGGATAGTTGTGAGGGAAAGAAGTGGAAGCTGGGCTCCAGAAATTGGATTCAATAGAAAAATTTTTGGGTTATATCTAGAGCTAGTGATGATGACCAACCAACCTTTGGAACAGCCACAACACTGCCTTCCAATCGCTGACTTTGGCAACCTTGGATTATAAACTCTTTCCTCAGCCAAGTTATAGAAACTTACATGATTTCCAAGGGAAACTAGAAAAGCATTAGCCAGGGAATCTCAACAGCCATTCCGACTCTGTTCGCTCTCCATCACTTGCAAACACTGCTCATGCGGATGAGATCAGTTTGAGTACTTAAGCGCTTCTCGATCATCTCGACGATTTCACTGGGGAAATTATGCCAGGAACTGCTTTTCCAGGGAATCTCAACAGCCATTCCGACTTTGTTCGCTCTCCACCACTTCCAAACACTGCTCATGCGGATGAGATCAGTTTCAGTACTTAAGTGCTTCTCGATCATCTCAACGATATCACCGGGGAGATTGTGCCAGGAACTACCGTATGCAATTCGATTCGTTGTATGAAAGGTGGATTTGATGAAAGAGAACCAACTAGTACGTGAGAGATATTCACCTAAATTTGTGTTACTGTGGAATATGAGGGCAGCCATCTCTGAAAATACCATGATCAGAACACTAACCAATCTGAGAGAATAATGAATGGATTTGTGACCAACTGATTGAATGAATAATTGGATTTTTTTTTTTTTTTTTTGGGTGGGCAAATCGTGGGTTTTCTGATTTTCACTAATAAAGTAATCAGAAAAGGAGTTAGAATTCAATCTCAGTTAGACAAGGAGTTAGAAGACCGTGTCGTGGATAAATTCACCAGTACTTATCAAACTAGGAAACATATTTCCTTTTGGCAAATGTCCTGGCTCGTGCGTACTGATTACACAAGGCTTTGCATTTATTATCGTTTTAGCATGCATATTGTTTTCAGGGTGGATTGCTGCAATTAGATAGTTATTTTAGTAGTTATTTTTTTTATTAAAATGTTATATTATTTAGCAGTCCTAGTCCACTTGGGATTATATGCCGTGCGGGAGTTGTTTTGTTTCTTTTTTCTTTTTAATTTATATTTATATTCATACTACTTATAAATATAACATTTATAAAAAAAAATTGATTTTCTATTTTATCCTTAATTATTATAATAAAGTCAATTATACTCATATTTATACTTTCATCTACTTTTTGGTTTTTAACTTTTAACTTGTTTTAGATTCTTTTATAAGGACTTCTAAATTATTTTGAACTCATTTATTAGTAGCATAATTACATACAATTTTATATATTTATATCAAGGAAAAAAGTTTTATATATGTTAAATTATTATACACATTTAGATATCAAAATGAATTTTACGTTACATATATATTATATTTTATTTTTTAGTATGTAATAATATAATAATATTATGAGTTATCTAATCAATCTATTTGACAAAATAAAAATTAATAATTTTATAATATGATTAAATGTGCAAATGCTTAAAAGAGTCATAAGGATATCTAAATAAATAACAAATTAGATACGCAAAGACTTATAAAATAAATTAATAATTGAAATATGAATTAATTATACAACACCTAATTTATTATTTAAATTAATTACACACATAATTCAATTTTTTTATAAATAAATATTATTTAAATTTATTTACGTGTAACGCACATCATGTATTACTAGTAAAACACAAAAATACCAATAATCATGGACGGAGACACCCTTAGGCTAAGGTGAGCACATGCCTCCCTCAAATTTTTTTCCCTTTATATTAGAAATATATTTTTTGAAATAAAATTTAGACATATTTAATTGTGTCTACCCTTTTTATTATTTTTTGGTAAAATTTGAGTAGACCCCTACCAAAATGATCGATAACTTTTCGAACAATGTTATTGAGACTTATAATGCATTGTAATATTAATTCTAATAATGAGTTTCAATATTTTGTAAACTCCACTATCCATCCGATGGTTACAAACCATTGAGTCTTCAAATTAGGTACAACGAATATTATTACTATCTCTTAGACACGTTTCAAATATGTTTTAAATATATTAAGGTTATTTTATAATTTTTTTAAAATTGTAGAGTTATTTTATTATTGTATCAAAATGTGTGTCACTATGTCGTAAACTATACGATCATAAATGAAATATTGTTACTATAATTTTATATATAAAAGAAATATTGCTGACAAGATTGATTTGTATTTCATTCAAATAATAAAAATATATGAAGGTCAATTGTAAGCGACAATAATTAATCTTGTTATTGATAATTAATCTTGTTTATGAACTTCTACGGTTAATTAAAAATAAAAAATAAAACTCTTAAAACTTTTTTCTGGCTCCGACCTGCAAATAGTGAGCAGGGGCGAATCTACGGTGGGGGCAGCTGCCCCCACTGCAATTTTTAAAACATGTGGCGTATATTTAGAATTTAAAAAAATTTAAGACATTGCCCCCAGTGAAATATTATAAAAGTGCAAGGATAAGTTTGTATTTTATAAACCAGTGTGGCATCATTTGTCTTTGATAGATTTTTAGCTGTGGGCCATATGTCCGCCTGACATTGGGATTTTCTATAAAAACAATGGAATAAAAATATGAAGCAATCTTGGCCGTTCATATACTTTATTTTTTAGATTTAATTGTTTTAAATGAAATAAAAATTTGATTAATTATAAACAAATTTGGATAGATGGTCAGATTAGGGGATAAGCCAACACGAATCAATTTGGATCACATTCAATTTCTTTTTTTCAAGAACAGCAAAATATTTTTTATTTATATAAATTTGAGAAGCTATTTTTTAGATTTTACAGTTGATCTTGAATTAAAATAATCGATTTTAATATTTAGAATTGATTTCAAGTATCTCAAAAATTATAATTTGATCAAAAAAAATTATAACTTTAATCCTAAAAGTTGTAATATGACTCATAAAAATTATAATTTTGTAGAATTTATTTATTTTTTCTTTTTTTTTATTTGTATAAAAAATCAAAAATTTATATAACAACCCACAAGATTTATAAACTCCACTACTGTCGTAGTCCCTGTGATATCAAAGTTGAATTTTAACTCTAAATATCATTTATAAACATGACACAAAATTAACTAATAATTAAGTTGCCCCCATGATTAAAAAAGTCTGGCTCCGCCCCCTAATAATGAGAGTTTTTTTTTTAACTGCTTGCTTTTATCAAACTAGGAAACATCAATCTTTGGCAATGTCCCTTCTTTCTATTTCTAGAATTTTCATTTCATTAATTACAAAATTTTAAATTTTCTCCAGTCAACAACCAACACTTGGCCAATATAACTACCCTTCTATTATCTCACTAATTAGCCGCCTCTTATTCAAAATTTTTATAAAAAAATTGAAGTTTATTCTCTTATCAACTTTAATAATTCTTTAACTAACCACGTTNTAACACTTGGCCAATATAACTACCCTTCTATTATCTCACTAATTAGCCGCCTCTTATTCAAAATTTTTATAAAAAAAATTGAAGTTTATTCTCTTATCAACTTTAATAATTCTTTAACTAACCACGTTGTGTGACGAAAAAAGAAGAAGTCTAAAATGGTGAGAAGTAACGCGCGGAAGTAAGAAGGTTTTGTACATCATCGCACGGGGCACTCGCCAGTAATAACTAAAACAAAGAGAAAGCATACAGTATAGTAGCTCTTCTTATCAAACTACATAAATGACTCAACAACATCCCCTGAGGTAACTACAGTTTTACCTGACAAAATCTGTTTCAATGTTTTCTTATGGTCTGTAAATATTCATCCTCCAATTGAATTTACTACTTTTAAACACATGCAAATATAATGGTGTTTCAGTACATGCACAAGCTTAACAGAAAAATATAAAACCATACACTTACGATGTAAGTTGCCGTGATCCAATATTGGTATCTTGCTGAACAGCATCTTTGAAAGCACCATCGTTAAGCCTCCAAACATAAGCTTGACAACTGACAATGATACGGATTGCATTGAATAAGCCAAATGAAACATTAAAAGCACAGAACGCATAAGATTATGTGATTCGGCTCAAAATTCTACATCCATGGACAAAGTGTGTGCCGAAAAAGTTCATTGTAACAGATGAGACTACAAGGAGCTTTTTGAAACAAGAGCAAAAGAATGACAGATTTACTTCACCACGGACTTGCAATAAACCAAAAAAGCCCTAGTTTCCTTCTGATTTTCATTACAACCTTAATTTCTTAATTGGGTCAGATATCCAACAATGAATTGTACAAAATTTTGAGTGGAATACAAGAAATCCACTACAATTAGAATCACAAGGGACATCTTAATTAGAAAGAGAAAAACTAAATTGTCATCCGAATTGCAACCAAAACCCTATCATTTGAATTTTTTTTTCCCATCAACTGTTGTGTCAAACATGACAGAGCCATTAAAATTCTACGGAAACCTAAATGCACCTAAGTCAGGATCAAATCCAAATTCAGAACAAGTATTAGCACAATGCAAGCCTAATCAACAAATTGGCATCAGCGTCAAGGCTTATGAAAGACAACAACAATTATGATCACAAGCCGCCCTTAATCGATAGTGTTATACCTGCTTTCCTGAAGATTTTTGGGTCATAACAGGTAGTATATTCCCCTGAATGCTTCTCTTTCTTGTAATCTCCTCTTCATGTCCTACATTTTTCTTTTCTATGAGTTATCTTCACATTCTAATAGTTCAAAACGATTGATAAAGATCATGAAATTCAATAGGCGGAAAAGAAAAAAAAAACAGTTACAGCAATTTCTTGTATCTCGGCGTACCTTTCTCGATTCAACAAAACAGCGCAGACCTCAAAACCACAGAATTATGGCAGATTCATTCTTTATAAAAGATTGTAATTAGGGTTTTGGCTTGGATATCAGAAGACAGAGAGAAGCGGGGTCGCGGGTTTGAGCTTTTCAAGAGTAAATGGTGATGGCGGGAAAAGACGGTGATCAAGTATCAACCTGCACCGGATAGTGTGGGTCGGTCCAATAAAGATGTTTGTAGTACATGGGTCCCCGCGAAACAAATGTTCGGAATAAATGGGCCGTTCGGTGTTTTGACTAATGTATATGCTTTTGTTCAGTTGTTGGAGACTTGTGGCTGTACCTTTGGAAGCCCAGCGTGGGTCCATTACCCAATTCTCCTGTTGGGTCTGTCAATTGTGATCAGTGAAGCGGGTTTCTATCGAGTGTTAATGAATTTGTGTCAAAAAATATTTCACTCATATTTAATTCGTGTATTAATTCGTGTACAATGAATTTCGTTATATATAATTCATATCATGTATGAATCGTAGATAACTAATATAAAAACAAATTGTATCATGTATTTATTTTGATTAGCTTCACTCATACTCAGTTTGTTTATTAATTATGTTATGTCAGATCCGCTCATTCACAAAACGATTGGCTTAAAGAAAACTCAAACTCTCTAATTTTGTCTCATATTAATAGATCGTGTCATACTTTAATCCTTCATTTTATTGTTTCAATAAGGCCCATCATCTTGAAAGTTTAAAACTTGACAATTCTAGACATTATCTATGAATTTGACAAAACAAT